GTGTGTGTGTGTGTGTGTGTGTGTGTGTGTGTGTGTGTGTGTGTGGTCTGTCCTCACACACAAACCTCCTCTTGATTGAGTTGGCTTCCTGCCACCAGCAGCAAACAATGCATTTATTTAAAGAGTTTACTTTCTTTCCCACTGACACACGAAATCATTCTTTTTTTAAAACGAATTACAAATGAAAACACACACACACATGACGGTGGAGCTGTATGGTCACGTGTGTGTGTTAATGTGTGTGTGCCGTATGTATGGAGCTGTGTGTGAGCGGTAACCTGATCAGACATGCCTGTGTGAGCCTCTCTCTGCACACACACTCTGCTGCCTTCAGTACCACAGAAGAAGAGCTAGTCAGTTTAAATGCATTGAAACAAGTTTAATTTGTATTTATCAGTATTTAGATTATTGTTACTTTTTTAACAAATCTCAACAAAAAACTGTGTGTGTTAATGAGTATGTAAACTAACGTTGTTTTTGTGCTGTGTGTGTGCCTGTGTGTGTGTGTGTGTGTGTGTGTGTGTGTGTGTGTGTGTGTGTGTGTGTGTGTGTGTGTCTGACGTGGAAGCAGTGTTTCACGAGGTGTCGGTGTACCCTAAGAAGGAGCTCCCGTTCTTCATCCTCTTCACCGCCGGACTCTGCTCCTTCACCGCCATGTTGGCTCTGCTCACACACCAGTTCCCCGAGCTCATGGGAGTGTTTGCTAAAGCTGTGAGTCACACACACACACACACACACACACACACACACACACACACACACACACACACATCAAGGGTGCTGGAGAGGGACAGATATTAAAGGTTAAAAGCCTTTAGATTATTATTCTCTATAAATCCTGCTGAGGTTTAAATCCTCCAGCCCCCCCCCCCCCCCCAGCACTGTGCTGCTCACCTGGAATGTGTGTGAGCTCATCTCTTCCACCTTCAGTGACACTATCAGCAGATATCATCTACACACACACACACACACACACACCTCTGACTCTCCAACCACATTGACATTGTAGGTATGATTGCAGAGATCATTCCAGTAACAGCCAGTAGATCTGATCCCAGTGCAGTCTGAGGATTCCATCTTTACTTTAACAGTTTCATTTCTGCTTGACTCAGATCAATTCAAATGCCCTCACCTTCTGTCAGTGTCATCTCTACAAAACTGAAAAGCACGCTGACGTTTTGCCAAATAGGATATTAGCCCCTTCGTGTTTCACTCAGGATTCTTTGTGGGCTGACCTGGAGGTTAGCAGCTCACTGGTTCTCAGCAATGGGATTTCATGTAAGAACCCCTGTGGTGAACACACGTTCTATGATGTGTTCAGTCTCCCCATGTTAACACCTCTTAATGATTTCTGAAGTTAAAAGCTAACGTTAGGCTATAAAGGAGCTACAGCACGGTCACATGACGTCAACAAGCTAAAGGCGGCTGATGTACGTCGATGGCGTTTAGAAGTTTCATTTAGACACTTGTTAGCAACCGTCTTTTTTAAGACACACACAAGCTTTGGAGCAGGGATGGGCCACCAGGGGGCCGCAGATTCACTTGGAACACACACACGCACACAAATTCCATGTGTTGTATGTAATTATTAACAAATTAAGTCTGAAATCTTCATTGACATTTTTCAATCTTTCAGGGAGCATCCTCTAAGAAGCATGTTTGTATCGAACAGGTTATTCAACAGTGGAATAAAACTATTTTAAACTATTGGAAAGCACGGAAAATGTGTGTGTATTGAGATGAACCATTAAGAGGACATAAGCATGAAGTCATGAACACTACCCCAGACATTAGTTGTCTAACTTGAACCTAAGACACTTGTCGTGGCTTCCTTCCTTGTTCTTCCACCAAGCCACTAGACGCCTTAAACAGACAGTTCTAACTCGTTTCTCTCCTTAAAGTACTCACAGCTTGAAGTGTTGCTTGGCCTCCGATGGTTTAGAAGATGTTGCGATGTATTTGCTCAAAATAAAATAAACTTTTGCACATGCAACAAAGAAAAATAGGCCTATACTATATTCAAAAGAAATAGGCAAAACTCAAATAAAACAACACAACTTAGGTATTCTTTCTTTCTTGATAACTTCACAACTTAAAGGGTACGAGTACGGTTTGTATGTACGGTTACGAGTACGGTTTGTATGTATGGTTACGAGTACGGTTAAAAACTGTTCCTCGACGGCGTCTCTCAACAGGTTGCCCATCACTGTGGCGTTAGCACAGGCGCCGTGGGAATTGTAGTCCTTTATAGTGCGTTGACTACAGACGTCACAATTAGGTGGCCTTTCTTAGCAAATCAAAATACTGGCTCTAACAACACTTGTAGCCTCTGCTGACGCACAATAAGGGGAATGTCAACACAGACACCTGGCAACCCGCACTCTGCTGTTCCTCAGCGCCGCCCCCCCTCCCTCCCTCTGATATTATGAATGAAAAGCGTAGTAATCATAGATAACACGGCAGGGTCCATGACAGTTTGTTTTCATCTGATTTCAAATAAACAAAGTCTTGGTTTTTAGAATATTAAACTTGTTTTTGCTAAATTCAGATGATAAAAACAACTTGTAAGCTTTGTAAATGCATAATTACAAGAGGCAACTTAACGTCACAGCAGGCATAACAACAGCCGCTGTTTCTTGTGAGTGTTGCCCCGGGCAACAAACACAAACGTGTCACAGATTATTTTGCGGTATTTGGCTGCCGAACGAAATCATGTACGCAGCTCTCGACGTAACTAGGAGTCTAGTGGACGGTATCAGTACTACAAGTAAAAACATAAAAATTATTTTTTATTAATCACGTTTTTTATAAATTAATCTGAGGGCCGCATAAAGAGGAGGTGGGGGCCCCGGGCCGCCATTTGCCCGTCCCTGCTTTAGACAATGTAGAATAATACGTGTTTGACCTTATTTCAGGCATCTAACCAAAACAACCATTTTAAAACATTGATTTTGAGCACAGGAAGTGGTAAAATGCTGACTCATCTCCAGGTGTTAGGACTCATTCCTGCACCCCTCTCTAGATCTCCTGTTAATGCATTCAATTAAAGTGTGTGTCGTCTCTCCCTCAGTTCCTCAGCACGCTGTTCGCTCCTCTGAACTTCATCATGGAGAAGGTGGAGAGCATCCTGCCGTCCAGCCTCTGGCACCAACTCACCCGCATCTGACCCCCCCCCCCCCCCTGACCCCCCCCCAGGACCAGAACCAGGACCCCACCCCCCTACAAACAGAAACAGCCGGACTGCCCCTGAACGCTGCGCTGTAGGGACTGACTTTAGGACTTTAGTGCCAAGAGGAGCGTTCAAAGCAGACTGAGAACGCAGGAAAAACCAAACGCAGAAGCGATGAAATCCACAAACTGGTTTTGACTTTATTTGATATGTTTGCATTTTTTTTTGGGTTTTCAAATCATTTAAAAAGCTGTTCTTTTGTTGTACAAAAACAGGTGATCAATTGCCATCATTAAAAAAAAAAGTGAAAAGACAAAAAAATATAATAAAGGACTTTTTGTGTATCGCTGCACGCCGGCTTCTTCCACATGTTGATTCCCGCAGATTCACTTCCTCCTGCTGAGAGAAGAGGAAATACAGAAGGTAGGTTTTTAATGTCTAAATGTGGGATATTTTGCATGTTTTCCCCACAAACTAACATCTCGCTCCACTGGAAGAACAAGACCATCACCTGCAGGTCCTTCAGGTACCTTTGAAGTGAAGCTAAGGGCGGAAAATCTCAACTTAAAGGGGACCTATCATGCAAAATGCACTTGTTGATGTCTTTTATACATCAATGTGTCCCCAGTGTGTCGGGGAACTCACGCAGCGTCAGAAAATAAAACCCTCTCTCTTCCTCCGTACCCAAATCTCTAAAAACGGGGCTACAACGGAGCTGATCCAGATTTGCAGCCGATATGACGTAATATCTGAAATATGGACCAATCAGAAACGTTGCTATCAGAAACAATGCCCGACTGTTTTGGACGTAATATGGTCGGTGTTTACATTAGCATCGCTAACACTCAGAGCTAACCTGTACTGGAGAGCATGTGTGTGAAGAAGCAGGAAGTAAAAAGGAACTCACCTTGTGGTATAACCGGCAAGAGAGAAAGCCTTTGAGCTCCAAACTGTTTCAGAGAGAATCCTTGATAATCCATGATATGGCGTTTCATCACGGCAGCATTTAGTTTAGACAGTAGCTGCCGGGTCCCGCATGAGCTCAGACCCTCCTTTTTAAAGCTTTATACCCAAATCAGATCTTTAGAAACAGGAAGTGAAATAGAGGGATATGAGGCATGGCTAGAATGATCTGTTTGGAGCAAAAACACTTCATAGACATGTTTTGTATATATTTGTATATATCTGAAACCCATGCTATTGCCTAAAAATAGCATGATAGCTGACCTTTAAGATAATTTAAATATAGCTTTATTTTAAGATTAATGAATTAATTCAATGCCTTTTTAAAACTGTATTGGGTCAGCAGGCAACGTGTGGATCTTCATCTGCAGGTAAAGAGCACAAATTGAACAACAAAACATGTTTAAAGGAACTTTATTAACATTTTATTACCGATTTATTTGCTGAGATCTGAGAATAACAGGAAGCAGTGTGGCCTCGTTTCTTATCGGCAGGAGGAAGTGACCTGTGTTGATTCTTTAAAATGTGCCTATTGGTTACAGATAATGTTTCCATACGCTATACATCTGATCTTAATTTACACAACCACATATTTACATAAGCAAACAAACACAAAACGGAGGGTAAAGCAGAATAACTAACAACATGTTGAGTGTTTTTGCATTTCAATTGGGATGCAGTGTGTAATGTAACGTCATTTATTCCTGGCAGCAACACGGGTAACCAGGTGGTGAAATAACATTTAAAACAATGTAAGATTTATACGTCAGGATGTCAGATATCAGCAGGTTTTAAGGTGATTATCTGGTGTTTATATTGACCTTTATTCCTCTGGTCTCTTTATTAACCAGTGCGTGTGTCTTACACTCAGCAGCTGAGAGTGACTAACCGTGACTGAGTGTTTACATGCACTGAATATTATCTAACCGTGTGTTTGTCACTTAGTCAGCTTGTAGTCCTTCAACTGTGTTCATTACTCCGCGGCTTTTCACAGAAACGATTAAAGGTGGGGGGGTTAGGTCATTTTGGAGAAACCAGCTCGAGTGCGATAGAATTTGAAAATACACAGCCGGAAAATATCTGCCACTTCCTCACAGAGCCCCTCCTCCAACACACGAACGCGCACATGACCAATGAGGGCACGAGATAAGTTTGTGCACAGATGGAAGGCTGACAGGCAGGTAGGCCATCCAGTTACTTTTAGCCGGGCCGGCTAAAATGATTGGTCGTGCTTTTTACAGCGCCACGGCTTCCACTGATGACATGTTTTTATGTATTTATTGTCAAAGCACTTCAGATATTCATTGCTATCGGGATGTTAAGAGCATTCCATGGAATATAATAACAAGTGTATCTCGAGCCGGTTTCTCAAACTTACCTACCCGCCAACAAGAGGCGGATTAAAGGCACGAGCTTTGAACACTTTGCCCCCTGCAGCTAATTAGTTACTTATGTTTAGGTGCTTCTGTGCCGTCAGACATTCATTTAATGCAGTCAAGCATCTCTTAGAAGTGTTCAATCTAATGTAAAACTTTTATAAACGAACAAAACTCAGGATAAAACGAGTGACAAACAGTGTTTTATCAAATCTAAAAAGCCTTTTCTCCTGTGTTTTATTACAAGGACAAAGGTAGTGCCAGTTGAGATGATTTGCAAACATATATCCTAGAATGCTACGCTTGCTTCAGGTCGGTTTGGGCTTTTCCAAAACAAAGTGCTCCTCTAGATCAGTGGTGTCAAACTCAAGTTCATCGTGGGCCACATTATGGTTGCACTCAAAGGGCCGGTTGTAACTATATAAAATACATATCTAAAATGATGTATTATATTACATTATTGCCTCTGAGTTGGATTATTATCGAATAGGGTAATAACTTCGTAATTAACTACGTCTAAAAGTCCAGGGCAAATAATTGCAAATCTCTTCAGTGCGCATGTCACATAATGAGATGCATTGTGGGACATGTAGTTTATGGGCAACGTGATTCTGTAAAGTGGCATGTAACCGTATAATAAACGTATTATATTATTTGCAAGCTCTTGCGGGCCATAAAAAATGAAGCCCCGGGCCTTGAGTTTGACACCCCTGCTCTAAATTAATTTAAAGAAACACCTTGGTATGGCAAGCCGATTTAGCTTTTATTCATTTCTGGAGGATATAAAAACATCTATTCTTACTAAGAATGTGTATTTCTGATATCAGAAATTGAATCGTAACTAGTTGTAATGTGTATTTCTGATATCAAATGCGATTTTAACGAGTGAGATTTGTATCGTTTCTCATTCATTTCAATGGGAGGTGGAATTTGAAATGAATGAGAAAAACGATATCAGTAATTCAATTGTTACAATTCAATTTGAACCAGTAAAAATACCAATTTCTGATATCAATAATTCAATTTCAACTAGTCGAAATGCAAATTGTTGATATCAGAAATACAATTTGAACTAGTTCAAAATCATTTTTTTGATATCAGGAATTCAATTGTTACTAATTATAATTATATTTTTATTTATAACTAGTTACAATTGAATTTGCTGGAACTGCTACCTCCGCGACCCGACCACGGATAAGCGGGAGAAGATGCATGGATGGACGGACAATTGCATTTTTTGTGATATCAAGAATTTGCATTCTAACTAGTTAAAATTCAATTTTTGATATCAGAAATAAACATTATTATTAGTAAACATTGATTTTTGTATATCCTCCAGAAATGAATAAAAGCTAAATCGGCTTGAGAGATGTCTGCCAAACATTTCCCCCCATGACTGATGAGCTGTTTCTGCTCCGTCTTCTTTTATAGTCGGAAAGACTCGTCTCTTATTGATTACGGCTCCAGATTTCTTAATTGGATTCAGCATCTAAGTCTAAAGCCACTTTAATATTTGAGTATTAAAACAAGTCTTGATTTGTATTCACCACTTCTAATCCAAGGTCTCTCTGTTTCACCACTTACTCCCAAACCAACCCTGAAGGTAGTAGAACATCTAAACTCTGATAACTTCGTGGCACAGAAATGATGCGGTTTCACTGAGCGTCTGTTCTCAGGACTGCTCCCTTTACTTTGCAGACATGACGAGCGTTTGGACATTAATTACTAGTGTTTTTGGTAACGCTCTTCCATGTTAGGGAGGAGAACGTCTGAAAGTATTTATGTTCTTCAAATTGAAGCGTAAAATGTGAAACGAAGACTGAGCCTCATCAAACCCGCAGTGATGCTTCTGTGAGCAGGAGGGAATCGAAGGCGCTGCTTAAACACATCTCCAGCAGAGAAAACAGAGTCACTCTCTTCCTGTTTTTAAGATTTAAAAACACTACAATACATTATATAATTTAAAATGTCTTCGGTGTATTTTCTTAGTTCACCTCCAAATTGCAAATTGGCAGAAGCTTCTGCTGCAGCATGTCTTGTTTTTGTGGAGAAGCTGTAAGAAAATAAGTGAAGTGCTGATCCATTACCTCAGTCTTTTCTCTCCCTTGTTTAGAACTTAAAGGTCTCCTATCATGCAATATGCACTTTGTGATGTCTTTTATACATCAATGTGTCCCCGGTGTGTCGGGGAACTCACGCAGCGTCAGAAAATAAAACCCTCTCTCTTTTCCTCCGTACCCAAATCTCTAAAAACGGGGAACAACGGAGCTGATCCAGATTTGCGTCCGATATGACGTAATATCTGAAATGTGGACCCACGGCCCAATCAGAAACGTTGCTATCAGAAACAATGCCCGACTGTTTTGGACGTAATATGGTCGGTGTTTACATTAGCATCGCTAACACTCAGAGCTAACCTGTACTGGAGAGCATGTGTGTGAAGAAGCAGGAAGTAAAAAGGAACTCACCTTGTGGTATAACCGGCAAGAGAGAAAGCCTTTGAGCTCCAAACTGTTTCAGAGAGAATCCTTGATAATCCATGATATGGCGTTTCATCACGGCAGCATTTAGTTTAGACAGTAGCTGCCGGGTCCCGCATGAGCTCAGCCCCCTCCTTTTTATTTAATCAATTTTTTTTAAAGCTTTATACCCAAATCAGCACATTAGAAACAGGAAGTGAAATAGAAGGATATGAGGCATGGCTAGAATGGGTGATCTGTTTGGTATTTTGAGCAAAACACTTTATAGACATGTTTTTTATATATCTGAGATCTATGCTATTGCCTACAAATAGCATGATAGGTGACCTTTAAGGATCCTATGTTATCATCTGTGAAAATGCTAGGTTTACATATGAAGAGTAACTCAAAGAAAAAGCGTAATCACCATTTTTGTCTCACTTTCTTATCAAGGCTTGCAGCAGCCTGACGTGGCTTTCAAATCAAATCACAAATACCGGGGTATTTGAAATATATTTCTAAGATGCAGCTCGGTACTGATAGTCATTGAATGTCTAACACATTAATGAAAGCTCTTTAACGGTCTCTAGTAGACATACGTTTAACTTTTTTGATTTGATGAACTACTGATCCGGTTCTCGCCTCATCAAGTAGGAGTTGTTGAACTGAAGAAACATTAACGGGATTTTTAAATGAAGGAATGACCTGCCTCTGTTACAGTATATGGATATTTCCTTATATTATGTAAGACTGCATATCTCCTGACTGACAAAACAAGAAAAGACATCACCTTACACTTTGAGAAGCTGGGATGGAAATTGTTCCTATTGTCTGACATGTTATCGACCAAATGATTAATCTAAGTACATCCATAATGAAAAAAGCCTTTGGATGCAATCTTAGTCTAAACACAGAGTTGGAGGAATCAGGAGTGTGTGTGTGTGTGTGTGTGTGTGTGTGTGTGTGTGTGTGTGTGTGTGTGTGTGTGTGTGTGTGTGTGTGTGTGTGTGTGTGTGTGTGTGTGTGTGTGTGTGTGTGTGTGTGTGTGTGTGTGTGTGTGTGTGTGTGTGTGTGTGTGTGTGTGTGTGTGTGTGTGTGTGTGTGGTGTGTGTGTGTGTGTGTGTGTGTGTGTGTGTGTGTGTGTGTGTGTGTGTGTGTTGGGGGGCTTTAAAAAACACAGAAGGCCTGAGTCAGACTGCTGATTTGACTCCCAATATGTAAGTAGGTGTGTGTGTGTGTGTGTGTGTGTGTGTGTGTGTGTGTGTGTGTGTGTGTGTGTGTGTGTGTGTGTGTGTGTGTGTGTGTGTGTGTGTGTGTGTGTGTGTGTGTTGGGGGCTTTAAAAACCACAGAAGTTCTGAGTCAGACTGCTGATTTGACTCCCAATATGTAAGTAGGTGTGTGTGTGTGTGTGTGTGTGTGTGTGTGTGTGTGTGTGTGTGTGTGTGTGTGTGTGTGTGTGTGGAGTTACATATGTGTCTACAAGGGTGTGTGTGTGTCTCTCTCTCTCCTGCACCCTTGGACAGGATCAGTGTTTTTCCACAGTGTTCCCTCTGGATCAGTTTGGTGTGTTTCTTATGGATTAAAGAGTGTTTCCTGGTCCCTTGCAGGTGTTTCCTCTGGACCAATCAGAGTTCAGCGGGTCAAATGTGTTCCTTGCAGGTATTTTCCTCTCTGGACCAATCAGAGTTCAGCAGGTCAAATGTGTGTCCCTTGCAGGTGTTTCCTCTGGACCAATGAGAGTTCAGCGGGTCACGTGTGTCCCTTGCAGGTGTTTCCTCTGGACCAATGAGAGTTCAGCGGGTCACGTGTGTCCCTTGCAGGTGTTTCCTCTGGACCAATGAGAGTTCAGCGGGTCACGTGTGTCCCTTGCAGGTGTTTCCTCTGGACCAATGAGAGTTCAGCGGGTCACGTGTGTCCCTTGCAGGTGTTCAGGTCGATGGTCTCTTCACAGTCTCTACAGATGACGTCGCAGCACCAGTGGAACTTGCACTCGCACTGCGTGGTGCGGCTGACCCTCGACGTGTCGTATCCGCGGCCGCAGCACAGCACCTCGCAGCCGTCTGCTCCACGGGACGTCCGGTTACACTGACGCCCCCCCGTACCCATCCAGCCTGGGGAGAGAGGGAGAGATTTTAAAAAGAGAGTGAGAGTCCGAGACCGAGTCAGTGTCCGAGACTGAGTCTGTGTGTCCGAGTGAGAGTCAGAGTCCGTGTCTGTGTGTCCGAGTGAGAGTCAGAGTCCGTGTCTGTGTGTCAGAGTCAGAGTCCATAATGTTTTAATGTAAAGTTAATTTCCCTCTGCTCGTCTCCACTGAACACAAATCAGATTTATTCACTGAATGTAAAAAAACACATTTCAGTGGTTTTACTTCCAAAATGAGATGTAATAGTGAAAGCCTCACACACACACACATTTAATTGGTTGATAAGAGCCAATGGGAATGCAGTATAGTGTGTGTGTGTGTGTGTGTGTGTGTGTGTGTGTGTGTGTGTGTGTGTGTGTGTGTGTGTGTGTGTGTGTGTGTGTGTGTGTGTGTGTGTGTGTGTGTGTGTGTGTGTGTGTGTGTGTGTGTGTGTGTGTGTGTGTGTGTGTGTGTGTGTGTGTGTGTGTGTGTGTGTGTGTGTGTGTGTGTGTGTGTGTGTGTGTGTGTGTGTGTGTGTGTGTGTGTGTGTGTGTGTGTGTGTGGTGTGTGTGTGTGTGTGTGGTGTGTGTGTGTGTGTGTGTGTGTGTGTGTGTGTGTGTGTGGGTGTGTGTGTGTTGTGTGTGTGTGTGTGTGTGTGTGTGTGTGTGTGTGTGTGTGTGTGTGTGTGTGTGTGTGTGTGTGTGTGTGTGTGTAAGATGATGAATGCTGGACGGAGGACAGATGAGAGATTGATGATAGGGGCCGTCAGTCTGCACTCACACTCTTCATCAGCTGTTCATTTCACTGGACACACACACACACACACACACACACACACCTCAAAGACATGCAAACTCTCCCTCAATCATTCTGAATAACACAGACTTGATCTATTCTCACAGACACACACGCACACACACACACACCCACTCTCTCAAACACACACCCACACACACACTCACACACACACACAGATAGTGAGACGGCCCCTCTAAAGTGTGAAATAAATTCCCCCGGCGAGGCGAGGCTCAGGTGTTTAACTCATCTCTCTGCACCCCCTCATCTTAATTCAATAAGCAGACGCAGCACAGCGCCGTGATGTCATGGAGCAGGGCGGCCAATCACAGGAGACAGGAGGAGGAGAGGGGCGGATCATGCCCAGATATATTACCTGGTGAAGGCTGCAGAGATAGTACACACACACACACATCTCACAGCGAGGCATAATGTAAACACGAGCAAATTCCAGAACAGTGTTCGAGATGGTACTTGAAGCAGAAGCAAAAACGTTATTTATACAGGAGGAGCTGAACACACACACACACACACACACACACACACACACACACGTTCAATAACACTTGTGCTGCTGCAGTCTGACAGTAACACCCACACACACCTGCACACCGCCTACAACAGTATGTTCACATACAACTGAAATACATTTTCAAATGCTAAATCGCAATACCTGATGATGTTCAGGTGTATATCAGTATGTAGTGTCTCTACTTTAAAGAGTCCTCTCCTGCTGATGTTCAGGTGTATATCAGTATGTAGTGTCTCTACTTTAAAGAGTCCTCTCCTGATGATGTTCAGGTGTATATCAGTATGTAGTGTCTCTACTTTAAAGAGTCCTCTCCTGATGATGTTCAGGTGTATATCAGTATGTAGTGTCTCTACTTTAAAGAGTCCTCTCCTGATGATGTTCAGGTGTATATCAGTATGTAGTGTCTCTACTTTAAAGAGTCCTCTCCTGCTGATGTTCAGGTGTATATCAGTATGTAGTGTCTCTACTTTAAAGAGTCCTCTCCTGCTGATGTTCAGGTGTATATCAGTATGTAGTGTCTCTACTTTAAAGAGTCCTCTCCTGCTGATGTTCAGGTGTATCTCAGTATGTAGTGTCTCTACTTTAAAGAGTCCTCTCCTGCTGATGTTCATGTGTATATCAGTATGTAGTGTCTCTACTTTAAAGAGTCCTCTCCTGCTGATGTTCAGGTGTATATCAGTATGTAGTGTCTCTACTTTAAAGAGTCCTCTCCTGCTGATGTTCAGGTGTATATCAGTATGTAGTGTCTCTACTTTAAAGAGTCCTCTCCTGCTGATGTTCAGGTGTATATCAGTATGTAGTGTCTCTACTTTAAAGAGTCCTCTCCTGCTGATGTTCAGGTGTATATCAGTATGTAGTGTCTCTACTTTAAAGAGTCCTCTCCTGCTGATGTTCAGGTGTATATCAGTATGTAGTGTCTCTACTTTAAAGAGTCCTCTCCTGCTGATGTTCAGGTGTATATCAGTATGTAGTGTCTCTACTTTAAAGAGTCCTCTCCTGCTGATGATCAGGTGTATATCAGTATGTAGTGTCTCTACTTTAAAGAGTTCTCTCCTGCTGATGTTCAGGTGTATATCAGTATGTAGTGTCTCTACTTTAAAGAGTCCTCTCCTGCTGATGTTCAGGTGTATCTCAGTGTGTAGTGTCTCTACTTTAAAGAGTCCTCTCCTGCTGATGTTCAGGTGTATATCAGTATGTAGTGTCTCTACTTTAAAGAGTCCTCTCCTGCTGATGTTCAGGTGTATATCAGTATGTAGTGTCTCTACTTTAAAGAGTCCTCTCCTGCTGATGTTCAGGTGTATATCAGTATGTAGTGTCTCTACTTTAAAGAGTCCTCTCCTGCTGATGTTCGGGTGTATATCAGTATGTAGTGTCTCTACTTTAAAGAGTCCTCTCCTGCTGATGTTCAGGTGTATATCAGTATGTAGTGTCTCTACTTTAAAGAGTCCTCTCCTGCTGATGTTCAGGTGTATATCAGTATGTAGTGTCTCTACTTTAAAGAGTCCTCTCCCTGCTGATGTTCAGGTGTACATCAGTATATAGTGTCTCTACTTTAAAGAGTCCTCTCCTGCTGATGTTCAGGTGTATCTCAGTATGTAGTGTCTCTACTTTAAAGAGTCCTCTCCTGCTGATGTTCAGGTGTATATCAGTATGTAGTGTCTCTACTTTAAAGAGTCCTCTCCTGCTGATGTTCAGGTGTATATCAGTATGTAGTGTCTCTACTTTAAAGAGTCCTCTCCTGCTGATGTTCAGGTGTATATCAGTATGTAGTGTCTCTACTTTAAAGAGTCCTCTCCTGCTGATGTTCAGGTGTATATCAGTATGTAGTGTCTCTACATGTCTCCATGCTTTAATGTGCTGCAGCACCTCTTTTCACCCTCTGTCTGAAACCAGAGCCCAGTCTGCTCTGATTGGTTAGCTGGCCGGCTCTGTTGTGATCGCTCAACCGCTTAGAGATGTCCCGCCCCTTAGCCTATCACGTACAATGTGTTGGAGCGCTAGCCAATAGGGGCACAAGTGTTACATAGTGATGTCATTATGGTCCCGAACATTGGGATTTGCAGACCATTTACGTGCACACAAACCTATATAACAAACTACAGGAAAGGGTTAACCCAAAAAGCACAATCAAGAGTCTCTAAAATAAAAGATAATGAAATTGTTTTAACACAGAAAAACAAAAAAATCTAGATTTTGAAAAAAACTGGATCCAGGGAATGTTGAAGTTACTGATTCATTTTCAAATCCATGTTCTCCTCCAGATCCACTAGGTTACACCCAAAAACACAACAGCCAACTAGTTTGATAAACGATAAACCGTTAAAGTATTTCTTCATGCAAAAATGGCAGAAAAAGCTGAATCAGACTCAAATCTCCGGCTTCTTCTTTGATATCGAGAAAACGATCAACAGATTCATTGATATGGAAAGTAATCGTCTAGCCCTTTACATTAGAGTCCACACAGCAGCGTTAAAAAAATCTTGGAGGTGGGCGTATCTGAAGCTTGGGGATTTTTTGCGAGCAACGCGACCAATCACATGAATCTCCCGCCCCCCTGCTTGCTAGCAATGTTAAAACGAAGTAAACTGGATATAAAATCCCCAAACAGCGAAAACCTACCAGTTTCACCCACTCTCTCTGCCACCTCCCTCCATGCCTGGTTAGTAGGGACTGGTCATAAAGAACCGGGTGATTTGCCACCGCAATAACTAATTTCTCCTCCATTTCGTTAGGAATATAGAAAATGAACTCTCCATATAGTATGTCTCTCCCAGCTTGCACGCAGTTTGATTGGCTAGCGCTTGTACTGTCAATTTGCATAAACGGGATTTGATTGGCTGACGCTTCCACGTCAGCTTCAAAGGTTGAACATTGCTCAACTTTTGAAGCATAATGCCTGGAAATCTCCGCTTTGCTTCCCACAATGCAGTTCGGCGAAAAGTGTGGCAAAGTGACGTCACCCCATTCAAAGTGACGGCCCGTCCACACGGTGATGTGCGTTGAAGCTTCAACGCTTCTGCCCATTCACTTTGAATGGGGTGACGTCACACTTTGCCGAACTGCATTGTGGGAGCGTTGCTTCGCTTTGCTCGCTTCAAAAGTTGAGCAATGTTCAACTTTTGAAGCTTCGGCGGAAGCGTCAGCCAATCAAATCATATGCCAGTACAAGCTCTAGCCAATCAAACCGCGTGCTTGTGTGTCCGGGGCGGGGGATTCATGTGATTGGTTGTTGGTCGAGTTTCAGACACGCCCACCGGCAAGCTTCAACGCACACCGCCGTGTGGACGCTGCGTGAATGGGCAGAAGCGTTGGAAGATTCTTTTAACGCTGCTGTGTGGACGGGCCATAAGAAATTAAACAACTTCAATGATTCTCCAGCAGATAGACCTGACTTTAGGGTGTGTGTCTAACCCTAATGGTTTACGACACCTATCTTTGTAAGTTGTATGTGCCTGGTTAGATTTAAGCAGGGCATCTTTACAGCATTATTTTAGTCCTACTCATACTTCCTGTCTGTACCTGAACGCTCACTTAAATCTAATAACAACAGGAGCTGGAGCAGAGACTCAGAAGCTCCCAAAGATCAAGAATGAACTTCCAGACTCTTCGACTGGACGACGCTCTCACAGCTTATCTCCACTTTAAATGAAAGCCATGCTTCAGAAACAGCAGGTTAAAGTTAACTGACTGTTGGAGGTCATACAACACTCCTGAAAGCACCTGAAGGCACCATGACGGTTTCTGATAACTCGGAGTACATGACACCGTCCCGTGACAGACAGATCCCAGCTTTGATTCGCTGAGACATCCAACACTTCCTTCAGAGTGAAATACAGCCTACGTGCAAACGCTGCAGCTCCTTCATTCAACAAAGTGTTCCACCATCACATAAATATTAAAAACAGGGCAGCGTGAACAAAAACATGGCACAATGTGCACATGAATGCATCGTTCACTTAGCAACCTGCATTTCCAACTGCATTTCCAAGCAGATTTGTAAAAGGAGAAATGAACGCAGCGTCCACACGGCAGCGTGCGTTCTGAAGCTCGACCAACAACCAATCACATTCATCTCCCGCCCCGGACACACAAGCACGCGGTTTGATTGGCTGGTGCTTTTACTGGCATATTATTTGATTGGCTGGAGCTTCCGTTTTCTCTACTTTTGAAGCGAGCAACGTGAGACTTGCATCCTGTGTAAATCCAACGGTCAACAGTATTGACAAAATCACTTTGAATTTTAAAGCAAATAATGACCTTTTTCTCAACCCTTACCAACATTTTTTTGCACACTCTTGCTAAATATTGATTCTTCTTACAAACAAATAGTTTTAGTTCCTGCTGGTTTTCCGGTTGTGGCTCCTCTGAGTATCTCTGTTCGTGTTGCTTTCAATGTCAAACCCTGCAATGAGACTTTTGCTAACATTGCAACTTAGATACTGAAACGATATATCGTGCAGCTCTTATTCCCAATGCTAACCACATGATTGAATCTACCATCGTGTGAAAGATATCAGGACGAGCTAAATGTCCTTAAAGGAGCCTGCTTTGTAAACGCTTATCCCTGAGATCAGAGATGTCCCGTCTTTCTAAAATTAAATTAAATGTGAAATACTAAAAGTATACTACGTTGGGCTCTGTAGAAGCGTCTGCCTTCGACACAAACCACACTGTAAACCATGGTATTGTAAAGTGTTGTGTGATCCAACCTGCCCCCCAAATATGCCCTCAGGTGTGTGTGTGTGTGTGTGTGTGTGTGTGTGTGTGTGTGTGTGTGTGTGTGTGTGTGTGTGTGTGTGTGTGTGTGTGTCCAGTGGAGGTGATTTATAGTGATCTGTGGCGCTCTAAGGTTTCAGCCTGCAGGAGTGTGTAATGGCTCTTAAAGCGGCCGACACCCGATCGCCACGGATCATCTGCTGCCACACACACACACACACACACACACACACACACACACACACACACACACACACACACACACACACACACACACACACACACACACACACACACACACACACACACACACACACACACACACACACACACACACACACACACACACACACACACACACACACACACACACACACACACACACACACACACACACACACACACACACACACACACACACACACACACACCTTCCTAAACTCTCTGTCCTCTTACATAAACACGCATTTCTCTCTCTCAGAAGTCTGATACTTTCTTATGTTATAGCCTCTCGTCCACATGCCCACCTCTTTGTAAAACATAATGACATTTGGATTCTGATCCCCTGCTGTACAGATGAGTACCTGACTCGTGGTCTCGTACGCAGTAGTCCGGCGAGTCCTCGAAGTACACCAGGTCGTTCTTGCTGGGCCTCTTGAAGTGTGTGTGTGTGTGTGTGAAGCCGGTGCCGTCCTGGTTGACGTTCACCTGCACGGCGCCTCTGTACCTCTTCTTCAGGTGATCTCCGGTCAGCCTGAAGTCGGCCATCGCCAGCCAGCAGGTCCGAACGCTGCAGGAGCCGCTGACCCCGTGACATTTACACTCCAGAGACATGAAGCGCCGCACCGCCTACACAGGAGAGTATCATGTGTATTTATTACCTTTATTTAACCAGGATAGGTCGCATTGAGGTCACACATCTATGTTTCAAGAGAATGGTAACAGCACAGTTACAGACAATTCAATGAAGGATACAATAACAACAGGAGGCAGAGATGTAAGGTCAACATAAACACAGACCACGTGGAGTCCCGAAAGGCATACACATGAGAACAGAACACACACATCTTAAGTAGAAACAAATCGTGTACCTTCCTGCCGGCCCGGTTGTTGTGCAGGTTCATCAGCGCCCGCCCGTCCCTCTGCTTCCTCTCCTTGGCGTCCACGAAGCCCTGGCTGAAGCGCACGGCGTGCTCCACGTGGTCGCTGCACCCCCCCCAGTCGAAGGACCCTCGGGAGTCCCGGGACGAGCCCGTCTTGGTGGGGTCGCAGGAGCAGGAGTCCAGGTCCCCCTGAGAGCAGGCCCGAGCCAGCGTGTAGACCACCCCGGCTGAGGAGATGGCGTACATGAAGGCCACCTCTCGACTACCTGAGGGGGGGGGGGGGAGGAAACAAGAAAGCAAGGAAGCAAATGTGGGACAAAAGGTCAGTCTTTCTAGATTCAGCTTAAAGGTCCCCTATTATTCTGTTTGTCATCAATACATTATAGGTCTCAGATATATACAGAGCCTGTCTCTGATTGGCTGAAACACCAAACAGATCATTGCAGCATTACCCATAATCCCCTCTGTTTCAGCCCTGATTCTCTGTCTGTTACTTTAGATGAAAATAAGGAGCCCCTCCCCACGCCCCTCTGAGAGAGACTTGGTTACAAAGAACTCAATGGTGCTCTAGGAGGAGATTCAGGTGATAAGGGGGGGGGGGGGGTTACCTTGGTTGGTGATTGGCTAATGGTTACACAAGACAACACATCGTTATGACATCATAAAGTGGCCAAAATCTGATCAGCATTTCGAGACAGGTTTTTTAGTAGACAGAGGAGAGGAGTCCAAAGCTTAACTATCCAAATGATCCAATAATAATAATTAATTAAGTATTAATAGAATATTTTATTTATGTCAAGAACTTGTGTTAAAACTAAAAAAGCTTTTGTAGAAAATGATGTTTCTCAAAGTAAGATATTCAAAAAGCAGGTTTGAAGTATCTGTATTGACACACACACACACACACACACACACACACACACACACACACACACACACACACAACACACACACACACACACACACACACACACACACACACACACACACACACACACACACACACACACACACACACACACACACACACACACACACACACACACACACACACACACACACACACACACACACACACACACACACACACACACACAGGTCTCAGTTGAGCGTGCCTAACAAGGTTAATGAGGAGAACGCTGAGAGAACACGGCAGAGAGGGGGGGGGGGGGGGGTTAGATGATAATGCTTCAGTATAATTGTTTGAAATTAGCCGGCTGACTTTGACAATCAGGAGCTTTCTGACGGGCCGGCCCCCCAGGGAGGGCCGAATACCACACGGCTGATTAGAGGCGCCCACATGAAACGGACTAAGTCGAAGGATCCTCCGGAGGGTTAAACCTGGGGGCATGGGAGAAGAACATCAGGGGTCCCCACCCTCCACCGGCAATAAAAGAGATCAGGACTCGTTAGGACACGTCCTCAGAGACGACCAAAGTACACACATCCTTTACTCATGTTTGAAAATACTCTGGTAAAAGTAGAAGTACTGACTAAACTTCTTTACTCAAGTCAAAGTAAAGAGGCTTTGAAATGTACTTAAGTAAAAAGTACCCATAGCTAGCAGCTGTTTTAAAGAGTACCTGACCTCCCTTTATATTAATAGAACAATAATGTCATTGTTAGCTAATGAATGTTTCCGTGCTGAACAACGGCAACATGACAACGTTTTCATTGGTCCCTCTTCTTTAGAGAAGACCAGGAAATGATGGATACACGGATCGTGTTCAAATCAATAGGCACGCAATGACTCTAAAGAATAATGATCACGCCACCAAACACACATTCAGACTAAAGGAACCAGCTGTTTGGAAAATGAGAGAAGTAGAAAGTACAAGTATTTGTGTTCAACATGTAAGAAGTAGAAAGTACAGGTATTTGAGTTCAACATGTAAGAAGTAGAAAGTACAGGTATTTGAGTTCAATATGTAAGAAGTAGAAAGTACAGGTATTTGTGTTCAACATGTAAGAAGTAGAAAGTACAGGTATTTGTGTTCAACATGTGAGAAGTAGAAAGTACAGGTATTTGAGTTCAATATGTAAGAAGTAGAAAGTACAGGTATTTGTGTTCAACATGTAAGAAGTAGAAAGTACAGGTATTTGGGTTCAACATGTAAGAAGTAGAAAGTACAGGTATTTGGGTTCAACATGTAAGAAGTAGAAAGTACAGGTATTTGAGTTCAACATGTAAGAAGTAGAAAGTACAGGTATTTGAGTTCAACATGTAAGAAGTAGAAAGTATAGGTATTTGAGTTCAACATGTAAGAAGTAGAAAGTACAGGTATTTGAGTTCAACATGTAAGAAGTAGAAAGTACAGGTATTTGAGTTCAACATGTAAGAAGTAGAAAGTACAGGTATTTGTGTTCAACATGTGAGAAGTAGAAAGTACAGGTATTTGGGTTCAACATGTAAGAAGTAGAAAGTACAGGTATTTGAGTTCAACATGTAAGAAGTAGAAAGTACAGGTATTTGTGTTCAACATGTAAGAAGTAGAAAGTACAGGTATTTGTGTTCAACATGTAAGAAGTAGAAAGTACAGGTATTTGAGTTCAACATGTAAGAAGTAGAAAGTACAGGTATTTGAGTTCAACATGTAAGAAGTAGAAAGTACAGGTATTTGTGTTCAACATGTGAGAAGTAGAAAGTACAGGTATTTGGGTTCAACATGTAAGAAGTAGAAAGTACAGGTATTTGAGTTCAACATGTAAGAAGTAGAAAGTACAGGTATTTGTGTTCAACATGTAAGAAGTAGAAAGTACAGGTATTTGTGTTCAACATGTAAGAAGTAGAAAGTACAGGTATTTGAGTTCAACATGTAAGAAGTAGAAAGTACAGGTATTTGAGTTCAACATGTAAGAAGTAGAAAGTACAGGTATTTGTGTTCAACATGTAAGAAGTAGAAAGTACAGGTATTTGTGTTCAACATGTAAGAAGTAGAAAGTACAGGTATTTTGAGTTCAATATGTAAGAAGTAGAAAGTACAGGTATTTGTGTTCAACATGTAAGAAGTAGAAAGTACAGGTATTTGGGTTCAACATGTAAGAAGTAGAAAGTACAGGTATTTGGGTTCAACATGTAAGAAGTAGAAAGTACAGGTATTTGAGTTCAACATGTAAGAAGTAGAAAGTACAGGTATTTGAGTTCAACATGTAAGAAGTAGAAAAGTACAGGTATTTGAGTTCAACATGTAAGAAGTAGAAAGTACAGGTATTTGTGTTCAACATGTGAGAAGTAGAAAGTACAGGTATTTGGGTTCAACATGTAAGAAGTAGAAAGTACAGGTATTTGAGTTCAACATGTAAGAAGTAGAAAGTACAGGTATTTGTGTTCAACATGTAAGAAGTAGAAAGTACAGGTATTTGAGTTCAACATGTAAGAAGTAGAAAGTACAGGTATTTGTGTTCAACATGTAAGAAGTAGAAAGTACAGGTATTTGTGTTCAACATGTAAGAAGTAGAAAGTACAGGTATTTGAGTTCAACATGTAAGAAGTAGAAAGTACAGGTATTTGAGTTCAACATGTAAGAAGTAGAAAGTACAGGTATTTGTGTTCAACATGTAAGAAGTAGAAAGTACAGGTATTTGTGTTCAACATGTAAGAAGTAGAAAGTACAGGTATTTGGGTTCAACATGTAAGAAGTAGAAAGTACAGGTATTTGTGTTCAACATGTAAGAAGTAGAAAGTACAGGTATTTGTGTTCAACATGTAAGAAGTAGAAAGTACAGGTATTTGAGTTCAACATGTAAGAAGTAGAAAGTACAGGTATTAGTGTTCAACATGTAATAAGTAGAAAGTACAGGTGTTGAGTTCAACATGTAAGAAGTAGAAAGTACAGGTATTTGAGTTCAACATGTAAGAAGTAGAAAGTACAGGTATTTGTGTTCAACATGTAAGAAGTAGAAAGTACAGGTATTTGTGTTCAACATGTAAGAAGTAGAAAGTACAGGTATTTGGGTTCAACATGTAAGAAGTAGAAAGTACAGGTATTTGTGTTCAACATGTAAGAAGTAGAAAGTACAGGTATTTGAGTTCAACATGTAAGAAGTAGAAAGTACAGGTATTTGAGTTCAACATGTAAGAAGTAGAAAGTACAGGTATTTGTGTTCAACATGTAAGAAGTAGAAAGTACAGGTATTTGAGTTCAACATGTAAGAAGTAGAAAGTACAGGTATTTGGGTTCAAAATGTAAGAAGTAGAAAGTACAGGTATTTGTGTTCAACATGTAAGAAGTAGAAAGTACAGGTATTTGTGTTCAACATGTAAGAAGTAGAAAGTACAGGTATTTGAGTTCAACATGTAAGAAGTAGAAAGTACAGGTATTTGTGTTCAACATGTAAGAAGTAGAAAGTACAGGTATTTGTGTTCAACATGTAAGAAGTAGAAAGTACAGGTATTTGTGTTCAACATGTAAGAAGTAGAAAGTACAGGTATTTGTGTTCAACATGTAAGAAGTAGAAAGTACAGGTATTTGGGTTCAAAATGTAAGAAGTAGAAAGTACAGGTGTTTGTGTTCAACATGTAAGAAGTAGAAAGTACAGGTATTTGAGTTCAACATGTAAGAAGTAGAAAGTACAGGTATTTGGGTTCAACATGTAAGAAGTAGAAAGTACAGGTATTTGTGTTCAACATGTAAGAAGTAGAAAGTACAGGTATTTGTGTTCAACATGTAAGAAGTAGAAAGTACAGGTATTTGGGTTCAACATGTAAGAAGTAGAAAGTACAGGTAGTTGTGTTCAACATGTAAGAAGTAGAAAGTACAGGTATTTGTGTTCAACATGTAAGAAGTAGAAAGTACAGGTATTTGAGTTCAACATGTAAGAAGTAGAAAGTACAGGTATTTGGGTTCAACATGTAAGAAGTAGAAAGTACAGGTATTTGGGTTCAAAATGTAAGAAGTAGAAAGTACAGGTATTTGTGTTCAACATGTAAGAAGTAGAAAGTACAGGTATTTGGGTTCAAAATGTAAGAAGTAGAAAGTACAGGTATTTGTGTTCAACATGTAAGAAGTAGAAAGTACAGGTATTTGTGTTCAACATGTAAGAAGTAGAAAGTACAGGTATTTGGGTTCAAAATGTAAGAAGTAGAAAGTACAGGTATTTGTGTTCAACATGTAAGAAGTAGAAAGTACAGGTATTTGTGTTCAACATGTAAGAAGTAGAAAGTACAGGTATTTGGGTTCAAAATGTAAGAAGTAGAAAGTACAGGTGTTTGTGTTCAACATGTAAGAAGTAGAAAGTACAGGTATTTGAGTTCAACATGTAAGAAGTAGAAAGTACAGGTATTTGTGTTCAACATGTAAGAAGTAGAAAGTACAGGTATTTGAGTTCAACATGTAAGAAGTAGAAAGTACAGGTATTTGGGTTCAACATGTAAGAAGTAGAAAGTACAGGTATTTGTGTTCAACATGTAAGAAGTAGAAAGTAAAAAGTAGTGGAGTAAAGTACTGATACCAGAAACATGTACTTAAGTACAGTAACAAAGTATTTGTACTCCACTACTTCCCACCTCTGGACGTCCTGCAGGACTCACTTCAGCTGAGACAGATGAGTGCGCTCTCATGCTTAATGCTCGATAATCCTTTATATGATATCCCCGGAGCTGATAACTCATGACTGCCGGAGAGGAGACCTGTGCCACACGCTTATTTTACAATAAACCCAAAACATAGCCAAAATATATTGAACTGCGACGCTGCTGAACAGTTCAATAAATCTTCTTTACCTCTTCCTACATTTTCTTGAATGATCTAACAGTGACTGTGGCCGCTTTAACATCATTATAATGAAACTGAATCAAACAGATACAAATATCAGCTTTCTTGTATAAATTAAGATACCACTGATCATAGGCGGATTTTGCGGGGGGGCAAAATATCTTACAGCATTACTACGTCTAAAACTGTTCCAATACAAATATTTCGTATATCAATATTTTAATAGATGTAATAAAATGATTGTTACAATACAAATCTGAATAATATCATGTTTTGTTTGAAATAATTTCATATTTGAGCAGTCGCATGTTGTGATGTGTGTGTGTGACGTGTGTGTGTGTGTGTGACGTGTGTGTGTGTGACGTGTGTGTGTGTGTGACGTGTGTGTGTGTGACGTGTGTGTGTGACGTGCAGGCCCGGTTCCAGAACAAAATGACTCAGGGTGCATCTGAGATTAGAGAGGGTGCAGGGGTAAAGTGCTATTTTTATAAGTGGGGAATGGACCTATCACCCTCTAGGGGGGCGGACCTCACCTCCTCTAGGAGGGTCCTCACCTCCTCTAGGTGGGTCCTCACCTCCTCTAGGTGGGTCCTCACCTCCTCTAGGGGGGTCCGGGGGCATGCTCCCCCGGGAAGATTTTTTTTTTAAATGTTGAAATTAAAAGCATCAATCTGGTGCACTTTGAGAGCAACATTAAGAGATCTATGGATCTATGTGCTCTTTGCTTGATTCATGCCTTCCCAGTCCCTTATCACGTACAAGAGCATGGCGCCAGTTGTTGTAGCCAGTTGTGGTGAAGGCATCTGACGTACTTGAACCGAAATGTCTACATGCAGAAGATGGCATCTTTTACATGAATATTCTGGTTAATAATATTGTAGCGTGTTCAAGTAACCAAGGGATATAGCAGTTATCAAATAAGTATAAGATGTGCACAGTTATGATAAGTTTTACAGTTATGTAATGCACTGTTGTTGGGGGGAGAGACCGCCCCTTCCATATGAGTGTGTGTGTACGGCGGGCATGGAAAAGTCATACTCAGTGCGGTGAGCGCTGGCTTTATTGCTACTGTATCCGTAGCACCCCACGCAATAGTTGGGACTGTGTACTGACGTCAGTAAAAAAGGTTTGCCTGCCCCCCCCCCCCCCCCCCCCCCCCTATGCCACTGATACTGAAATATACAAACCTGCAACTAGTTATTGACATTAACGCAAGAAAACTGTGGATTTTCATCTGTAGGATGTCAGAAAATGGCCCAGAATGACCAGAAAAGTGCCGAAACTCTGAGCTCAAATTGTCAAATTGCTTCAATATGTCCAACAATTCTTAAATCCAGAGATATTAAATACAAATAACCAAGAACCATCAAAACACCAGGAACCTCAAAGTGTTTTCAAAATATTTCCTCCAGTATTTTATGATGAATGACTTTTTTGCACATTGACGTTTCTTTCCAGCACCACATCTGCACACTAGAAGTCCAACTATAACCACCACACAGTTCAGAGGAGCATCCTAGCTGCAGAAGAGCAGACTGTCAGACGTGATAAATGTCAAATTGTAAAGTGAGACGATGTGTGGAATGCGATCCAACCTCTGTAAAAAAAAAAAAAAGCATATCTGCGAGGGTCTCAGTGTCGCCGTAAATCAACACTTTGAAAACCCACAGATAGTTTGGATTTGTCAGCGTTCAGTTAAAGCAACATGTTCGCGTCATCCTGCAGATCACAATGACCGGGGAACACAAGCCAGAAGATACGGTTGCACACAACCCTAAAACTCACTTTCTATTCTTAGAGTCCCCCCCCCCCCCCCCCCCCTCTGTGGAAAGAGACTCTGAAAGTTTCAGGAACAAAGATTCTCTCTCTTTTTGATCCATTTCTATAAAAACCTGTCTGAAAATGAGCTGATCAGATTTTGGTCACTTGATGTCATAACGATGTGTTGGCTTGAGTAACCATTAGCCAATCAGCAACCAAGGTACCCCCCCCCCCCCCTTATCACCTGAATCTCCTCCTAGAGCACCATTGAGTTCTTTGTAACCAAACCTCTCTCAGAGGGGCGTGGGGAGGGGCTCCTTATTTTCATCTAAAGTCACAGACAGAGAATCAGCACTTTGGAAACAGGGCTGAAACAGAGGGGATTATGGGTAATGCTGCAATGATCTGTTTGGTGTTTCAGCCAATCAGAGGCAGGTTCTGTATATATCTGAGACCTGTGATATATTGATGCAAAACTGTATAATAGGCGACCTTTAAGACGTGACTTTCCTTAGAATAAAGTAAGATAACCAACCAACCCCCCCCCCCCCCCCCCCCCCCCCCCACAAAGCAAGTATTTTGCCCCAAAAGTTCCCAAAACAATTTGCAATAATGAGGTTCGCTAAGAAGGTAGAATTGGGTCATAATTTATCAAATATAAATCCTAAAACAGTTCAACCAAACCAGCACCAAAGTTTGAATGGACAACATAGGTTAAAACCTCTAATACAGCGGTTCCCAACCTGTGGGCCGCGGATTGCAAGTGGGTCGCCAAATAATTTGCAAAACATTATGATTTGAACCTCCTTTAATTTCTCTTTCTTGATCCTCCTTAGCAACGGTCATCCCAGTCCTTGACAGTGGTGTGTTCTACTGAATTCACAACGTGTCACATGTTCTGAATCGACCAATCAGAACTTTATTTAGCCTCCGTATTGTTTACGGTTGAATGTGGGCTGCGAAACGTTTTTTTTATTCTTAAGTGGGCCCTGAGTTGAAAAAGGTTGGGAACCGCTGCTCTAATAGTTTAAAAAGTGACGTTCCTTAGTATGAAGTAAGATAGCCCTAAGCCTCCACTCACTCCTCAGCAGCAGGCGTCCGAACAGCTGCTCCCTGGCCGTGGCGGTGCAGTTCCAGCGGTGGTTTCTGAACTGGTGCTGGCACTCAGAGATCCAGTCCTTCATGCCGGCCCCGATGGCCTGCATCACGCGGGGGTTCTGCCGGCACAGCTGCCTCTGCCGGTTCACCAGGCCGGGGATGTTGTCGCACATCACCTGAGACCCCAGGGTGCCCATGTACCTGAAGAGAGGAGGAGGAGGAGGAGCCAGACGAACACACACACACACACACACACACACACACACACACACACACACACACACACACACACACACACACACACACACACACACACACACACACACACACACACACACACACACACACACACACACACACACACACACACACACACACACACACACACACACACACACACACACACACACACACACACACCTGTGAACATCTGGGGGAAACCATTCATCAAGGGAGGGAAATGTGTCAAAGAGGAGGAAGTGAGTGTGTGTGTGTGTGTGTGTGTGTGTGTGTGTGTGTGTGTGTGTGTGCAGAAAACTTCATTTGATGGATAGATAGAGAGAGAGACGGACAAGTAGATAGATAGATGGGATACTTTAAATACTTTAAAAAGATCATTAACAATTACAAATAAAACGAAAAGTAGTATATCAAATATAATATAAAATATTCTGGATAATTAAAATAAAAAGTCAAAAATACTACAGGAAATACTACAAAGGACAGCTAATGTTTTTCATATCAAAATAAGCCAAGATAAAACCCTACATACATTCTGTTAAAGCAGAACATGTGCTGCTGTGCTCCTACTGTTAACCTGGCATGCATGCAATCAGAGCACCTCACTGTTCACAAGTAAATACTGATAACAGACAAGAGCTACAAAGGTCATGTCAGACTGTATATGCCGGAGCATCAGGTCGCTGCACTGTAGAAATAGAATAGATGAGAAAGAGATAATGAAATGAGTCTTCTCGTGTCCACACTCTCATGTACTTGCAGAACAAGGTGATGAAAGAAAGACTTGCAGCTGCAGGGATTTCTCTCAAAGAAGTAATTAAGAGAGAAGAGGAATTCAAATAAATGATCTAGTATCCCAGGCTGTGAGAAGCAAGGACTCTGGAAAGAGATCCTTTGAGAGAGTGAAAGACAGCAAATAAAGAGAAATTCAATCATATCAAATGACTTTATCCTGGAACAAATCTGTCCAAATATTCAAGTATTTAAAAAAACTGCAGTTCTGGAAACCCTGAAGGGAGTTTGTAATTAAATCCGCTGCTGATTTCTCATTAAAAAAAGGGATACAAGGTCGTTAGAAAACAGTTTGAGGCAATGAAGACTTGTATATCCATATTAAAAACCATTAAATAACACTCATTTCACACACATCACACTGGCTACAGATGAATTGAAACAATGTCCAACCCGATTGGAGCCCATTTTGCGCATCGCGTAAAAACGTGTTAATCAGAAAGCCATGCATTCAGCGCGTGGGCTAATGCAGTACCATTTAAATAAAGAAGTAGAAGAAGAAGAAATGCACATGCTACTCACCACCAGGACGCATCGACCTCGGCCGTCAGCCAGCCGATTGCTACAGATAAATAAAAACATATTCCACTTGGCAATAAGTTCATATTAACCACACTTTAAGGATCTGGACGGAGCATTTCCACGGATAAAAGAAAGAGAAAACTCATTACAGAACTCGCTGAATCTCCAAAATCAGACATGGATTACAAATATGTGATCACGGGAGAGTTGTTGGATGGAGCTTTGTGCGTAAAAACATGCGCCATGGTTCCCGGTGGCGCAGCGCTTCTGACGGGGGAGAAGCTCAGAGAGAGAGTCTTAATAGTCCAGCGAATATTTTCTGAGGAAGCTGATGATGATGATGATGATGATGATGATGATGATGTGCTATCAGGTTTAAATTGCTTTACACAGGGGGTGGGCAGAGTCTCAGGAATGAAGTGAAGAAGCGAGATGTCTGAGAGTATCTGTTCGGGCTGGTTTGACAGCAGACAGGCGCTGGCCCGCGTCCAGACCCGAGGAGGATGGGCTCTCTGGGGGGGGGGGGAGAGAGAGAGAGAAGGCGAAAGATAGAAGAAAGAGACAGGGGGGGGGGCAGAGATCATCCAGTCACAAGAAGAAAAAAAACCCACAAACTAGTTTAGACACCGTTTCAGGAGACAGCATGGAGCTGGTTGTAGAGATTGACCGAGTATTAGAACCGAAATATGACTTTTACGCAGTTTATTTCGTGATGAAACGTTTACTCCACTCAAACTGCTCCGACGCGTTCAGAGAGGGGGAGAAAGAGACAGGGGGGAGATCATCCAGCACACTCAGTCAGTCACAAGAAAGACAGAAGACCCCACAAAGCAGCTCAGGTAGTGTTTCAGGAGACAGAATGGAGCTGGTTATAGAGATTAACCGGGTGTTTGTACCGAACGATTACTTTTACCCACAGTTTGTTTCGTGATGTCACTTTTACGCACGACTTCATGGCAGAATAGTGCCATTTATTTGGTGTTCTTATAATAATTAGACGTCAAACTACACTTATATTAAACGTCATGCCTCCTATACAATTTGTGTGCATTAAATGGTCTTAATTTATCATATATTTACTTAGTAACGTTTTTACTCAACCAGGGCAACTTCGGATTTACTTTCCTAAAATCTTTTAGGACTTATTGGGCACAATAGTGCCATTTATAATCATAAGTGATTGTATGATGACCAAAGTGTTCTCGTAAAGAACTTTCTGCCACCTCAATACACCGTGTTGCCATTCAATAAGGCTCTTTTCTGCTCATTAAGGCCTTGATTTACAGACATTGCCTATTTTCTTCAGCACTTCAGGACAATAGTGGCATTTATTGAGTGATTTATGAACAATAACACATCAAACTAAAGTCATTATTAACTTCCTGCATCCTAAAACTATTCATGGACCCTTGTTTATCTTTTTTCTTTAATATTTGGTAACTTTTTTGCTCATTAATGCCTAAAAAGCGAATTTAGTCAAAGTCACTTCGCCTTTTATTTAGTGATATAATGAATAATTAGACTATAAACTGCACTCGTAATGAATTTAGCTAAATCCAAAGCATGTTTATCTCACATGTATCTCACTTCTTATATATTTCGTTTTGCTTATTAAGGCCTAAAACGTCGGTTTTACTGAACGATACTTACCTACTTGTTTCCAGGAGGTGACATTCAAGTGATATAAATAATTAGACAGAGGGAACATCCTGCTTCCTAACTTCAATATGAGCCCCTTTTTTTTCATTTTATTATTCTGTGTGAATCTTTGCCGTCCTGTTTGTTCACGCTTACCCTGTTGCTGCTTTGTACAACTGAATTTCCCCTCGGGGATTAATAAAGGTTCATCTTGTTTTATCCTATCCTTCATTTATCTAATCTCTTATATAATCGTTTTCTCATTCAAACCTAAAACATCGGATTTACTTAAAGAGTCCATTGCCAAAACCAACTCACGCGCAGGTGCCAAATACTTCTGATCCCTAAAGCATGACGCATTTGTTATTTGACAGCCATTCAACCCGTCCAACTAATAACTCAGGAATGATGGTTTAAAAAAAGGACAGAGGAGTATTACGCGCTGATTCTCCCAAAGCAGCACCTTAAGGTGACGTGTCCATTTCGATTGGATTATCTCTGGAGGGCTTTTTGAAGTCTCCGCACCACTGTCACGCAGCATTTCCTCCATCTTTGATCTGGAGACCCTGAACACATGAGATTAATGCGCAAATTGGATTCCCCCCCCCCCCCCCCCATGATCCCCGTGGAAGAAAAGCCATAAAACAACAAGGAGATTTAGCTCTCTGCTGCTCTCAGTCCATTGAACACGACTTCACGTTGCAGCAGCTGTAATACGTTTTGTATTAGAAATCCAATTTAATCGGAGTAATTTGTTCATTATTTCTGCATGAAACCGGAAGGGAAAGTCAATTTAACATCACCAACACGTCAGTTAATGGATTAAAGAGCCTTAAACTGTTAGTGAAAAATGCAACATGTGAAGTAAAGCCAGCTAAATCTTCAAAACAAAACATCATCTTGTGTTTCAATTTCTGGACTCCTAAACGGTGACACAACTGAGTCTGAACATCTTGGGTGGCGTCTTTAATGATTTGTACTTGGCCACTATAGTTTTTAGCAATGTCAAAGCAATTAGATTAAACAAATTGGATCAAAAATGAAGTTTTAGTTCAACATTTTTAGAAATGCGCTTATTGGATTTCTACCAGATTTCTACCACACCTCCGCAGGGTGGCTGGTGTCTCCCTTAGGGATAAGGTGAGAAGTTCGGTCATCAGGGAGGGGCTCGGAGTTGAGCCGCTCCTCCTTCGCGTCGAAAGGAGCCAGTTGAGGTGGTTCGGGCACCTAGTTAGGATGCCACCTGGGCGCCTCCCTAGGGAGGTGTTCCAGGCATGTCCAGCTGGGAAGAGACCAAGGGGTAGACCTAGGACCAGGTGGAGGGATTATATCTCTTCGCTGGCCTGGGAGCGCCTTGGGATCCCCCAGTCAGAGCTGGTTGATGTGGGGAAAAGAAAGTTTGGAGCTCTCTGCTGGAACTGCTACCCCCGCGACCCGACCACGGATAAGCAGGAGAAGATGGATGGATGGTTAGATGAGATCAATGTCACTCGTGTTTGTTCGTTAGGCATTCAGCTGGAGTGAGGAAGCAATTAGCTTAGCTTAGCATAAAGACTGGAAGCAGGGGGAAACTGCTAGCCTGGATTTTCTTGCCTATTTTATTCAATAGTGGCACTTATTGTGATTTTATGAAAGATTACGCATCAAACTAAACTCAAAATGAATTTCCTGCAGCCTAAAACTTTGTGTAGCACTTTTCTGCAGATTAATGCTCAAACGTCGAATTTAGTCAAAGACACTTACCTATTTTAGGACTTCTTGGGCAAGATTAGTGCTATTTATTTAGTGAAAGTATGAATTATTAGACTACAGCCTGGCTGTCCACATATTACACCAGCAACTAACATCTGTAAAGCTCACTTATTGACACAATGCATCTCCTTTCACCCAAACACACCTCACCTTAAATCAGATAGGTTTGTGTAGACTTTTGGAAAATATTGAGCTGGTGTGGAACTGAACGTTTCCCTGATGGCAGCTCCAGCTCATTATTCATCGCAGAGACATGAGGTTGATATACATCTTATTTCACTCTGAAGAGAAAGGGTAAACTCATATTTACCCAAAAATGCTTATGTGATGCATCAAGTACTTGAAAGAACACACCGGCTCAGACCGTGCATAGCTAGTTTTCCAGTTCAAAATAATGCAGGTTTCTGCTCATGATATGGATCCACTCTCCTGCACCCTTCAAATACACCTTTTTGATGAAAATCGGGCCGGCTGTTTTTCCGTATCGCTGCAGATAAACAGACCAGCCAACCAAAAACATCATCTCCTTAAATAATAGCATCTTGTCTGAAAATGATCACATATTCACAATTTTTCCTTGAAAACAAACTTCAGATTTTAATCTTAAATCCCAAAAGAAAGAAACTTTAATTTAAACTCTTTGAACACAAACAAAGACTCAGAACTACAACTTAAAAAGACAAGAGAAAGTAGAAAATGAGAGCAACCGCACAGATAAAATAAAACGTCTCGTCAAAACACTTTCCTAAATCAGTCGTTTCATAATCCAGTTACTCACCGACCGTCATCAGAAACTAAACACTATGATGGCTAACATGATACACATGCTGTTTTTAACACACACTCCTGTGGTTGAACACACACTCCTGTGGTTGAACACACACTCCTGTGGTTGAACACACACTCCTGTGGTTGAACACACACTCCTGTTGTTTAACACACACTCCTGTGCATCTGCAGCAGAAGCAGCAGGACGGACGCTCCCAGCGCGCTCAGTGCGACTCCGGACAGGAAACGCTTCCTCCCGATGCCGAGCTGAGGAAGCGGACTGAAATGTTCAACTTCCTCCATCTGAGGAAGAGGAAGAGGAGGAGAGGTTTGCATGAGAGAAAGCACAACAAATTAACACTTTTCTAATTAATTCAGTCAGTTCAAGTTGAAAACATTTTCTATCTAGCCCAGGAGTGGCCAACCCGCGGCTCCTCAGTTCATATCGAATTGTAATTGTGTTTTTTTCCCCCCGCATATGTATCCCAGTTCACAAAGGATTCACAACACACAAGTTCCAGCCCAATCGTTACAGAGTTTTCAACAAAGAAGTGCTTTAGCCAATCAGAATGCAGATCCTGCAGTACTGGAGGCGGGCTTTACTGCACTCGCGATGTGACCGTGAAGGGAGAGATCTGCTTCCGATCGGCAGAAATATAACTCCGATAAAACCGTAATAACTCAATATAATGTTGTCAAATCAAAATGTGGTATATGTGTATGTGAGAAGGCCTGCTCCCGGAGAGCTGGCTACTGGCACAGAAGGGCTCCTGAATTTGGTGATTCGCAGTAAAGAAATAAACAAGAGAGAAAGTCAGCAGAGCTTCTGTCAGTCAGAGGGTTAGGTAAACGTTGAGATGTCATGTGAGGAGAATTAACTAAAATACACTTCATTTATTTACATTTACTTTTAAATGACGGTCATGAATGTGTGTGTGAGATACAGACAGAATAAAGGCCAGGCATATTTTTATGAAATGATGTGCCCTTTCATGCATTTGAGCCCCTTCCACATCCTCTGCACGTTTCAAGAAGCAACATGCATAGTAAGATAACTACTTTTTTCAAATGTTTTGAACTGAGAGTTTGTGTGTGAGACACAATATTAATGGTTGACTATAACTGCCTCTGGTCTTAATACTGGTAGGAGAGGTTTAAGTCCATTTCTGTCAATATCATGGACTGTGACTGTTATAGGAAATCTGGCTGAACGGAGGCATGTGTTTCTGTATGTGAGAGGGTGTGTGTCTATGGGGTGTGTCTTTGAGTGTGTGTGTCAATTATTGTTCATTTTTAGATTTTCATTTTGTATGTGTGAGAGATAGAGAGGGAGCTCACAGAGGAAGAGAGTGAGGGAGCTCACAGAAAGGCTGAGAGCAAAAGAGAGAAGGAGAGAGAGAGGTCGGGACATACACCCAGCATGTGTGCCTGTGTGTATGATGTGGCTCTTTACCTCTGATTGGTTGGCCACCCCTGATCTAGCCCAATAACTTATGTACATAAGCTTGAAATCTACCCTTCATATTTCCTCTTGGAACACACACACACACACACTTCTCCGTCGCTGCCCCCTCCCTCTGGAACTCACTCCCACGACCCATCAGAGACTGCACTGACCTCACCACCTTCAAAACACTCACCTCTTCAATCTGGCTTTTAATGTGTGATTGTTTTTGTATTATTTGACTTTAACTTTAAATATTTATATTTTTTTGTTGTTCCTTTATTTTATTTTATCTTCACTATCTCTGTAAAGCGTCTTTGAGCACCTGTAAAAGCGCTAACAAATTAAATCTATTATTATTATTATTATTATTAATTGACCACCACGATAAGTTGTTACTTTTGTTAAATGAACATCCTTGTGCTTTGGAACTCATGTTTACATCAATAACGTTCCTAAAGCACACTTCTGCTTTCCCGTCTGGTTTCGTACTCATACCACTTGTTCCCTCACTAACACACACACACGTATCAACGTGGACACTAGATGGCAGTAACAAGCATCATCTCCATTACTGCTTTTTGTACTACTTGTAAACTTTCTTTCATTGCAACAACACATATGTACCGATATATATATATTATAGTGTGTGTCACAGCTTGAGTAGTGAGAGCTCTAGCAAACGAAGAGATATGAGTTAATCAAGAGTGTGTGTGTTTCAGGAGACAAGGTTACATGTTGTGTGTGGATCCCGGGCTGTGAGCCAGTGGTTCCAAATGGACTCATTGGCCGTCAGATTCTTGTCTGACACACGAGGATCCCCCATACCTGAAGTACAACTAATGACACACACACACACACACACACACACACACACACACACACACACACACACACACACACACACACGCCGCCTCCTCAGCTCCCTCCGTACCTCCACCTCTCCGTTTTCTCCCCTCTTAAACTCCCTCACCTCACCAACCTGCGTCCTCTCTCTCCCCCCGCCCCCCCCACCACACCCCTCAACTTCCCATGTGCCCCGTCACCTTTCCCCCCCCCCCAACCCTCCCCGCCTCATCGTCTTGGTGCTGACAGCTCGATGTCACAGCGGCGCTGACTTATGGGCTGTGAGGATTCTGCCCTGTCAGGAACGACTCTCTCCTCTTCACACACACACACACACACACACACACACACCACACACACACCACACACACACACACACACACACACACACACACACACACACACACACACACACACACACACACACACACACACACACACACACACACACACACACACACACACACACACACACACACACACACACACACACACACACACACACACACACACACACACACACACACACACACACACACACACACACATACCTGTTGGAGCTCGTCAGGATTCATATATACACACACTATGTTCTGCACCTCTTTTAATCCTCAGTAGTAAGAGGCGCTCAGAGAGGAATTCAGATTGACGTGAATGTGTTTCAGCCTGAACGATGTTATAAACGGTTAAAAAAAAAAAGACACCATCTATCAGATCATCAGGCATGTATCCAAATCATTGTCAATGTTGATAAGCTGTGAAGTTTGTTATACCGGCATCAACTTGAACATTATGAACAGTTGCAGAATAATGAGCTCAGCTGTGTGTGTGTGTGTGTGTGTGTGTGTGAGAGTATCATTATACAGAGCTAAGTACTACAATATATAAAGACTAAATAATGATTTGCTTGTAATATAATGTTGTTGTTTCCTGCACAAACATAAAAAGAAAATAACATGGAACACATATTTATATTATTATACGCCGCCAAGTTAAAAATATATTTGCTGACTCCAGAAACCAGAACATTGATTTTCCTATAAATGAACTGAGAGACAAATCAATCTAAAATCTCCCTGTTAGCTTTTTAAACGAACAGTAAGGGGTGTGTGTGTGTGTGTGTGTGTGTGTGTGTGTGTGTGTGTGTGTGTGTGTGTGTGTGTGATGGGAGAAATAAAGAACCAGACCTAAATAACTTGTGTGTTTTCAAGAACGAGTGTACTTCATGTTTGTGTATCTATAGATGTACTGTGTGTGTGTGTGTCTAAGTCTAAAGATGTACAGTATATTTCATGACTGTGTGTGTGTGTGTGTGTGTGTGTGTGTGTGTGTGTGTGTGTGGACCTTGCAGAGAATGCTCCGGAGGCAGGTGACCTCCTTCTGCAGGTCTCTGGTCTGGATCACCAGCTGGTTGCAGACGGCCTGCGCCTCCCTCTTCGGGTCCAGAGAGAAGACCAGCTGCACGGAGACACAGCTCAGGTTAGTAAATATAGAATGATATAGCTGCTAACAAAGCTACCGAGACATTAGCAGACAGAGGAGGTTCATCACATGCGTGGACAGAATTAAGTGTGGGAATATTTCAATTCAATCTGGATTCTTTTAGATATTTACTTGTGCTTTACGTTACTGGTTTAAGCGCTCCGAGAAGGCTTCACATGGGCACCTTCAACTGAGTTAGAATATAACGTCAACATGCCTTTATTGGCCACTAAGCTGCTGGTGACCTTCTACCGCTCTACCATCGAGAGCCTATTGACACACTGCATCACAGTGTGGTACACCAGCTGCACTGAGGCCGACAGGATGAGGCTCCAGAGAGTCGTAAAAGCAGCACAGAGGATCATCGGCTGCCCCCTCCCCTCCCTGATGGACATCTACACCTCCCGCTGCCTCAGTAGAGCCAAACACATTGTTAAGGACAGTTCACACCCCGGCTTTCACCTGTTCAACCAGGCGCTACAGGTGTATCACATCCAAAACAATCATCGTAAATGTGACTCTGTACATATATATCATTATTATTATAAATACATACTATTATTATTTATTACATTATAGATTTTATTTGTATACTCCTGGAAATAAATACTGCACTTTATTCCTTATTCCTAAGTATGTATGCTGCGTGTATTTGTTGTCTTATGTTGTGATGTTGTTTTGTTTGATGGCACCTTTTGAAAGGGAGAAGCATTTATTTATCTCATTGTACATGTATAATGACATTAAACGATTCTATTCTATTTAGGGCTGTCAAACGATTAAAAATGTTAATCAGATTAATCACAGCTTAAAAATTAATTAATCATGATTAATCACCATTCGAACTATGTCCAAAATATGCCATTTCTGTATGTATATTGTTGGGAATGGAAAGATAAATGAAAGAAGGCGGATATATCCATTTAACATACAGTATCTATGTTTATTATAACATTTTTCTGCGTGTCAAAATGAAAGACAGCCCACACACCTATCAATCATCAAACCGTGGGGTCTTAATTCATTACGTGTTGATTTCTATCAACGGGGGAGTACTTCAGGAAAGTCGACGGGGGGGGCGGCTAGTGGAGTACTTCGTGACCACAGAGTGTGAACGTTGTGATCAGCTGTTTTAGCGCAGTTCTCCAGTGAAGGGGGGGAGTCTCCCTCCGCAGCCGGTTGGCGTAGTTTTGGCACAATTCCGTTGTACAGACCGACGTTAACAGCAGCCCTGTCTGTGCACACGGAGACCGACTCTGTCGTCCGGTGATCTAACCGCCTTCTGGAAAAGCTTCACAAGTACGTCGGTACGCAAATGCGCTTTGTGACACAAGTGACGGTACGCATTTCAGATTACGCACATAACCTGCGTACCAGTTATGTGCACCCCTGTACTACAGCAAAAGTATTCTCCGTCGGGACTTCCTGCAACAACACCACGCCGTTATCAAAGATGTTCTATTGAGAAGACGATCACTACGTGACAAAAGTTTTCAAAACCGTGGCTACTGAAATCAATCTTATAACTGCTGTCTGTGCAATTTACTCCGCGTGAGTTGGCAGACTTTATTTTGCTTCCTTTAACATCATTTTTCATGGTGGGGCTAATCCATTTCTTGGTATGGGTGTAGCCTACCCCAGCCATACCCTGGCGCTGCCACTGGTGGCACGTATGGGGCGGGCCATTTTGCACATGCGTTAAATATTTTAACGCAATTAATTCAAAAAATTAATTACCGCCGTTAACGCGATAATTTTGACAGCATTAATTCTATTGTAAGCTCTGTGGTAAAATATTAGGGCTGTCCCGAATAAAAAATTTCGGGCTCCGGATATTCGGTAGTAATCAGCAGCGAATATTCGGCCCACGCGGGGGTGCGTAGTAATCTGCAGCGAACCGCTCCAACACGTGTATTTCGGTTTATTCACGGCATTCATTTTGTCATTCTACAGTATTGTTGTTTTATAGTTATTTGTTAATGTAACCCAATTTGTGTTCTTTGAAATTGAAAAGGATATCGCATTGTGTTTGTTACTTTAGTTGCAGTTGTATATGTCTTAAGTGTAATTTGGCTTGGCTTCCTATTTTTTACGTATATGCTTTTATTTTGAAGGAGAGTTAGCGCTGTAGACAGGAAGTTGTTGTTGCTATGGAAACAACGTGACGGAGATTAACGGAGAAAAGTAATATCTACATATAAAGACGGAGAAAGTAAACAATAAAGTGTATGGTTAAGTGTTAGCACCCCCGAAGAGGCACAAGCTCTTACGTTGATATTGGAGTTTTCAATAAATTCAGAATAAAAAAAAAACGAATAACGAAATTGAAACCCGAATAGTACTCCAACAAACGAATATTCGGGTACAGCCCTATAACATATACAATCTTTTTATTTTACTTGGAGAAACAATGAGGTAGAGACATCATTTACAGTGTAGCTGGGTAAAAAACTGAACCTAGGGACCAGAAAAACCCAAAGAAAAACTAATATCAATAACTAACGGATAAAGAAATTGGAATATAAGGCAAATTAATCATTTACAAAAAGAATGGCTGGAAGGGACATTTAAAAAAGGACGTTGAAGCAGCTGCACAATGAAAAGTTACCCATCCAAGCTTTGTAAAAAACAGGCAGCCCCTGCTTTATGAATTATAAAAGTGTTTGATGATGAATATATTTCCAGTGCACCACTACAGAGAAACTCACCTGAGAGGCTTGGCGGGGGAATCTCCCGTTGACGTCCTGAATCTTCTCCGTCAGGTAACAGCACTGCTGCCTCACGCTGATCAGGAAGTTTTGCAGGTCCTCACTCCTGCAAAACAGACAGCAAACAATGATGTACATAAAAAAACATTTTTCTTTTTGATGCAAGTGCAACAGGCAGTTTCTCACCACCTTTGTTTCTCTCGTCGTAAAGTCGGCACTTTATTTAACGTGTTTTTGGTTAAACGCCTGGTGAACAAGTGTCTAAATGAGACGACTAAAGGTCATTAGCCGCCTTTAGCTTAGCGGTGTTGACGTGAAGTCATGTGACCGTGCTGTAGTTCCTTTATAGCCCAACATTAGCCGCCTTTAGCTTAGCGGTGGTGACGTGAAGTCATGTGACCGTGCTGTAGTTCCTTTATAGCCCAACATTAGCCGCCTTTAGCTTAGCCGTGGTGACGTTAAGTCATGTGACCGTGCTGTAGTTCCTTTATAGCCCAACATTAGTTCCTTTTAAGACATTAACTGTTTCCTTCAGGTGATTGCATTTAGACTTCACAGATTGTTTTGATATGTGGAGATGATCCTGCTGAACAAAACAGGCTTTTTTCTGCAATATTTATATTATATATATGGAAAAATCCCAAAGCTTTTTGTCTAGGGAGCCCTTGTGATGCTATCTTCCAGGTTGGCCTACAAAAATGTCACCACTCTATCGCAGTTCTTTCAATTGAGATTACAATTTCAGTCTGCAGAAAACAGTAATTTACATAACTGATGTGGCACAATGTGAACTCATCGGACATGTCCCAGACGTTTTTGAGCTTTAAAGCGAAGGTCAGAAGGTTCTTCTTTAAAAACTGAGCCCTAATTAGACGTCATCGTATAAAAACAAGGGAAGGCCTGCTGAAGATGCCCACCACTGACAGTCAGACAGATTAATAGTGTTCACATTCTCCATTCCCCCCTCTCCAAACCGTAGTAAACCCAGCAGGTGGTCGAGCCCAACGCTGTCCTCCCTCCCTGAAAAACATCCACCTTAAACGATGGTTATTCATATTCATCCGACTCTTCCCATCCCCTGGTGCTGTGGGATATTGATATAGGTCTTATCTTAAATGCTACATTTCCCGTGGTGAGGGGACAGCTCCTCACACTCTGTCAGAGGGCCGAGTAAACACTGTCAGTCCTCCGCCTGCTGTTAGTTTATCTAGGGAGCGGAGAGTGATGATGGGCCCCCGGTGGGAACATCGTAGAATGGGTTTGTAGATGCAAAGGAACATTATATTTTCTACGATCGCTGATAGTGGATGCATGTATGCCACTTTGTCAGGGAACTGTATTTATCCAGGGAATGCTATTTGCCATTTTTCCACCAGCAAGCGCCATTTCATAGCGGATGATGGGAACGGGATGCATGTTTATTCACTGCACTACTGTGTGGTAGATTCACACCAGCAGTATTTCAGTCATTTTTATAAACTTTCTTAGGACGTGGTTGTCCTGTTTTTTGTTTGCAGGATAAATAGGATGAAATAAAGACATTAAATAGCGGATGAAAGGTGTCAGTTTTCCTGCAGGTGCATGAGGGAAAAGATGGCAGCTAATACAGCGGAATAACTCCATGGCTTTAGATGTGCTGAGTTTTTTAACACTCTGCTAACTCTGCCACATGACGCCTCTAGATCGAGCCGGAATAGCTAACAGGGCTTCACAATACCTGACTAATTTCACAGTCTTTTAGGTCCAACAAATGTCGTTCTTCATGGCCTTCAAGCTACTCCGAGACGAAGGATTTTGCTTATGAAACCTTGCAAAGCTGCACTTTGTTTGGCATGTCTGTTAATCCTGTTCTCTTGGATAATGAAGCACAAAAGGCTTTGTCTTTAGCATTTACCCTCACTTTGAGACATTCGGGATTGTGGGAAACGGTATCGATCTCTGTCTGTACACACAAACTGAAAGATTGACAATAAAGTTGGATTTCTGTCAAACAAGTGGAGGCTTCCCTAGAAAAACCAGTCCCACCGTAGCACTGAGTTAATTATCTTATTATTAATAATATTTCTAACTGTTAACATGCGTTTCATTTTTATCCTCCAGGCCTATTTTCTCTACAGGTCCCTGACATAAGAAGTTATTTGCAGGACTAATTTTCCAGTGTGAAATAATGATCCCAATAGAGGAGATCTGTCCGTGTTGAAGCCATCCATCCCTCTCATTTAAAATCCCCTCTCTCTCTATTGGACGGTGTCTCTCTCCGTCCTGCAGAGGAGTCGTGAAGTGATGGGGTGCGCTGCGATGTCTTTGTTTGGCCTCTGCCACCGGCTCTACTTTCTCATCGCCTCTCACCCTACAAATCATTACAGCTGCGCTTAAACCATTAGCGCCTGGCTCAGGGCTGGGAGAAGGAGAAGTGAGGGTGGGATTACGGAGCGAGGACAGCGCGGACAGCGAGATGCTCCTGATGGACGACTTTACGCAGAGGAGGACAGATCGGCATTACGGGGAGATGGAGGAGGGCTGGATGCGGGGGAGGGTTAAAGGTGTGCGGCTGACAAGTGTTTAAAGTTGTGCTACTATAGTCAGCTTTGTTTTTGGCTCAGCGCAGTGTTTGTGGACGACTCTGTCTTTGCATCTGACAGATAATACGACATGTTCTAGCAGACAGAAAAAGGATGTTCACTGTAAAACAAGTGGTGGAATTTAATTAAACGTAGTCAAAGTACTGCACTTAAGAAGTATTTTAACATACTTGTACTGTACTATTTCAACACTGTGTGCAATATAAATATCATTGCCATCATTACAAAACACTCGCTGCTATCTAACATGTGCAATATTATTAATATTAATAATGTGCTATGATAACATTTTTCGCAACCCTCATAGTTACTAGTCGCTTTGTTTCTATATAAAAACACATTCATTTCAAACCTTTATTTAGACAGATAGGTCCCTTGAGATCATGGATCTCTTTTACAAGGGAGACCTGCATCAATTTAGTTCCACATGAAACATAAAAACAAACAATAGAGGACATCATATTTACATATTCAGAGTCAAGGATTGGAGCGTTCACAGAAGCAGAAGTACAGTCAGTGACAGAATCAAACAGAGAGCCACAAGACACAAAATGCTTATTAAAGCAATTTAGCATAGTAGCCCTGTCTGATATAGTGCCAGATGCTGTGGTGAGGCACGGAGGTAGCTCATTTGGGATATCACCAGTGGAAATCGATTTTATGGCTTTCCAAAATGTCCTAGGATTATTCAGGTTTTCTGTGGAACTTTGATTTAGCACTTTTTATTTGAGATGTGAAGCTATTCCTTAGCTGCCTAAAGCGCAGCCATTCTACCTCTGAGCCTGATTTCCTAGCCTTAGCCCAAGCATTATTTCTCTCATGAAGGAGACTGGACCGCTCAGCAGAAAACCAGGGATGGTTTCGTCCCTTCACTCTAAATGTACGCAGAGGTGCATGTCTATCTATAATTTTCATAAAACCAAAATAAAAATAAGACCATGCAGTTCATCAGCACACATTACATGATATGATCCAGTAGAGTATTACCTCTTATTTCTTTAAGTATTTAAGATGATGTCCACATGGAAAAAACTACAACATTAAATGCTCTTCGAAGTATATTTCAGGAATAAAACCGGGTATTATAAAATAGCAATAATAGTATTACCGGTGGTCTTTAAATTGTAAGACACAACCATCTTTAAGGATTATTTGTGATGAGTAGAGACAGTAATGTAAATAGCAAAAGTGGTGAGAACGAAGCCTCTGATCAGATGTTTTATATATTATTACAGTATTTATTCTACTTAACAGCATTAGTTTAGCATTGTTTATCTTATTCTGTCTGTTATGTACATATTTGTTCAATTTCTGCAACTTACTTGCACTTTTCGGTCAATTTTCTTTGGCACTACTGTTTGTCCTTTCGTCTTCAAGTATTATTCATTAAACATGAATGAATTGTAAAGTATATTGTACGTTGCATTGATAGAGGAGGATTCATTGCCAACAACTAGGCTGTAGCTATTGTGCAAATTGCAAACAAAGCCTATGCATCTTTAGTCAAATCAAGCTCTTCTCGAAAAGTAAACTAATCCTCAAAAGTAACAATTAGTTTTAGCGCATTTTAAGATACTCATCTCTTACCTTCCCTCCCTAAGTCCAAGAGATGTGAGCTTTACCTACTTGCTAGAAGGTGATTAAATGGGAAGATACTGTACCTCCATCTCATACTCACTGGATAAGAGTCATCCTTTTTTTCCTGAAGATGGAAAGGATTATTTCTCTGAGTGGCTCCTCAAATACATTTGGGAAAATATGGGGCCCTTTTTTCAAATTTGCTAGAGGATAAAGTCCCCAATCATTCCTGATCCAACTTTTGCATTTTGGAGGACACTGGACGGGTTGTCGCGGGAAGGAGGTGCCGTACTGACATTTAGTGTTTATCATTGACCTTTTTGTTTTAGCTGACTGGTTTTCTATTTTTTGTTTGTGTTTGTCTTCTGTCTGTGTGGGATTTAGTTTGCTCTGGTGTTAAGCAGTATTTACTTTGTTACTCTACCTATTTTTCTATAAAGTGAAGATTTGTTTACCTACTTTTGATACATGCTCTGATAGAACAACTGTATGCTGTTGAAAAAACATACTAATCTATAGAGCGGTGAGGTGACGAGTCCTAACACCCGGAAGTGAGTCAGCATTTTACCACTTCCTGTTCCCTCGTCTCAGAGCCAATGGGATCTCTCCATAGGGTTGTGGAAAATATCTGGAACTAAGGTCTGTGGTTGAAACACATTGAAGAGACGGATCATGTTTTGTTCTACGACATTAAATCATCAGCAGTGACCCCACTGGTGATTTCTGAAGAGTTGACGTGTCTGAAAAACGATGGTTGTTAACAAGTGGCTGAATAGGACTACAGAAGTTGTCCAGGCCGTTTTACGTCATTACGCCGAACACGTAAACACTCCTCTAAGTTAGTTTGCCCTGTTCTTCTTGAAAGCAAGTCCCTGCCTGCTGCAAACTGTTAAAACAAACGCTTCAACTCGTAACATTTAGAATCTGTATTTTGAATATGGATCTTAAGTCGGCGTGACGTTGAAGTCGTGCTGCTGTACTCGGCTGTAGTTCCTTTATAGCATAACGTTAGCATTTAGCTTCTGGCGATTACATTTATGATTCGAAAATTATAAAAGTAGGGTAGACATGTGGAGATTATCCGGCTGAACAAAACGTGCATTTATCAAACAGGTTCGTTTTCAACAGATCTTATTTCGAGCTATTTTCCAAAATCCTGTGGAGAAATCCCGTTGCTTTTTTGACGAGGGAACCAGCAGCTTACTTCCTGGTAAACACGTCACCCCTGCACCGCTCTATTGGGTACAGGTGTTTGATTGCCACTTCCTGCAGTGCATTATGGGATACCTTACCCACTTTCTGCAGGTCCGGGGAAGCTGATTGTGTCCAAGTCCACTTTGTCCAGAAGCATCTGCTGCACAGCACTCAGCACTTTCTGCTGGACCTCCGGGTCTGTGATGCCCACCTGACAGAAACAAGTATTTTCTCATGTTGTACGTTCAGAGAAATCATCAAACTGTATGATACATATGTTTCTACAGCTGCAGGAAGCTTTACCATGCTTTATTGAGCTCACTATCTAACACAAGGCCAACTGCAATACTACATCAAGAGGAAATATATTGATGTGTCATTTCTAACATGTGTTTTTGTTACCATGACGTCTGACAAACTTCTGGACTGGCATTTAACTTCCGTCAGTTATTAAAAAAGCACACTTTGTAAAAGACATGCATCAATTGCAACAGGCTTTCCCCCTGATAAATAAGATCAGATGTGATTTATTGATCCCAAATTGGGATTGTGTTGCATAGCAACAGCATAAAAAACAAGACAACCGTTGACCGTAACCCTGATGGTCTGACAAAGTTGCTAAATGTGTTGCTTTCTAGGAATATAGTTGCTAAGAGGGACTGGAAAGTTGCTTTCTAGGAATACAGTTGCTAAGAGGGGCTGGAAAGTTGCTTTCTAGGAATACAGTTGCTAAGAGGGGACTGGAAAGTTGCTTTCTAGGAATAAAGTTACTAAGAGGGGCTGGAAAGTTGCTTTCTAGGAATACAGTTGCTAAGAGGGGCTGGAAAGTTGCTTTCTAGGAATACAGTTGCTAAGAGGGGCTGGAAAGTTGCTTTCTAGGAATACAGTTGCTAAGAGGGACTGGAAAGTTGCTTTCTAGGAATAAAGTTACTAAGAGGGGCTGGAAAGTTGCTTTCTAGGAATACAGTTGCTAAGAGGGGCTGGAAAGTTGCTTTCTAGGAATACAGTTGCTAAGAGGGACTGGAAAGTTGCTTTCTAGGAATACAGTTGCTAAGAGGGATTGGAAAGTTGCTTTCTAGGAATACAGTTGCTAAGAGGGACTGAAAATTTGCTTTCTAGGAATAAAGTTACTAAGAGGGGCTGGAAAGTTGCTTTCTAGGAATACAGTTGCTAAGAGGGGCTGGAAAGTTGCTTTCTAGGAATACAGTGCTCTAAGAGGGGACTGGAAAGTTGGCTTTTCTAGGAAGAAAGTTACTAAGAGGGGGCTGGAAGTTGCTTTCTAGGAATACAGTTGCTAAGAGAGGACTGACCCCCAAAATTTGCTTTCTAGGAATAAAGTACTAAGAGGGGCTTGGAAAGTTGCTTTCTAGGACTACAGTTGCAAGAGGGGCTGGAAAGTTGCTTTCTAGGAATACAGTTGCTAAGAGGGACTGGAAAGTTGCTTTCTAGGAATACAGTTGCTAAGAGGGACTGGAAAGTTGCTTTCTAGGAATAAAGTTACTAAGAGGGCTGGAAAGTTGCTTTCTAGGAATTACAGTTGCTAAGAGGGCTTGGAAGTTGCTTTCTAGGAATACAGTTGCTAAGAGGGGCTGGAAAGTTGCTTTCTAGGAATACAGTTGCTAAGAGGGACTGGAAAGTTGCTTTCTAGGAATAAAGTTACTAAGAGGGGCTGGAAAGTTGCTTTCTAGGAATACAGTTGCTAAGAGGGACTGAAAGTTGCTTTCTAGGAATACAGTTGCTAAGAGGGACTGGAAAGTTGCTTCTAGGAATACAGTTGCTAAGAGGGATTGGAAAGTTGCTTTCTAGGAATACAGTTGCTAAGAGGACTGAAAATTTGCTTTTCTAGGAATAAATGTTACTAAGAGGGGCTGGAAAGTTGCTTTCTAGGAATACAGTTGCTAAGAGGGGCTGGAAAGTTGCTTTCTAGGAATACAGTTGCTAAGAGGGACTGGAAAGTTGCTTTCTAGGAAGAAAGTTACTAAGAGGGGCTGGAAAGTTGCTTTCTAGGAATACAGTTGCTAAGAGGGACTGAAAATTTGCTTTCTAGGAATAAAGTTACTAAGAGGGGCTGGAAAGTTGCTTTCTAGGAATACAGTTGCTAAGAGGGGCTGGAAAGTTGCTTTCTAGGAATACAGTTGCTAAGAGGGACTGGAAAGTTGCTTTCTAGGAATACAGTTGCTAAGAGGGACTGGAAAGTTGCTTTCTAGGAATAAAGTTACTAAGAGGGGCTGGAAAGTTGCTTTCTAGGAATACAGTTGCTAAGAGGGAATGTTGCCTGGAAAGTTGCTTTCTAGGAATAACGTTACTAAGAGGGGCTGGAAAGTTGCTTTTTAGGAATACAGTTGCTAAGAGGGGCTGGAAAGTTGCTTTCTAGGAATAAAGTTACTAAGAGGGATTGGAAAGTTGCTTTCTAGGAATACAGTTGCTAAGAGGGGCTGGAAAGTTGCTTTCTAGGAATAAAGTTACTAAGAGGGATTGGAAAGTTGCTTTCTAGGAATACAGTTACTAAGAGGGACTGGAAAGTTGCTTTCTAGGAATACAGTTGCTAAGAGGGACTGGAAAGTTGCTTTCTAGGAATACAGTTGCTGAGAGGGACTGAAAAGTTGCTTTCTAGGAATAAAGTTACTAAGAGGGGCTGGAAAGTTGCTTTCTAGGAATACAGTTGCTAAGAGGGAATGTTGCCTGGAAAGTTGCTTTCTAGGAATAACATTACTAAGAGGGGCTGGAAAGTTGCTTTCTAGGAATACAGTTGCTAAGAGGGACTAGAAAGTTGCTTTCTAGGAATAAAGTTACTAAGAGGGGCTGGAAAGTTGCTTTCTAGGAATACAGTTGCTAAGAGGGACTGAAAAGTTGCTTTCTAGGAATAAAGTTACTAAGAGGGGCTGGAAAGTTGCTATCTAGGAATACAGTTGCTAAGAGGGGCTGGAAAGTTGCTTTCTAGGAATACAGTTGCTAAGAGGGAATGTTGCCTGGAAAGTTGCTTTCTAGGAATACAGTTGCTAAGAGGGGCTGGAAAGTTGCTTTCTAGGAATACAGTTGCTAAGAGGGACTGGAAAGTTGCTTTCTAGGAATAACGTTACTAAGAGGGACTGGAAAGTTGCTTTCTAGGAATACAGTTACTAAGAGGGGCTGGAAAGTTGCTTTCTAGGAATACAGTTGCTAAGAGGGACTGGAAAGTTGCTTTCTAGGAATAAAGTTACTAAGAGGGACTGGAAAGTTGCTTTTTAGGAATACAGTTACTAAGAGGGGCTGGAAAGTTGCTGGAAAGGGGCTGGAAAGTTGCTTTCTAGGAATACAGTTGCTAAGAGGGAATGTTGCCTGGAAAGTTGCTTTCTAGGAATAACATTCCTAAGAGGGGCTGGAAAGTTGCTTTCTAGGAATACAGTTGCTAAGAGGGACTGGAAAGTTGCTTTCTAGGAATACAGTTGCTAAGAGGGACTGGAAAGTTGCTTTCTAGGAATAAAGTTACTAAGAGGGACTGGAAAGTTGCTTTCTAGGAATACAGTTACTAAGAGGGGCTGGAAAAGTTGCTTTCTAGGAATACAGTTACTAAGAGGGGCTGGAAAGTTGCTTTCTAGGAATACAGTTGCTAAGAGGGACTGGAAAGTTGCTTTCTAGGAATAAAGTTACTAAGAGGGACTGGAAAGTTGCTTTCTAGGAATACAGTTACTAAGAGGGGCTGGAAAGTTGCTTTCTAGGAATACAGTTGCTCAGAGGGACTGGAAAGTTGCTTTCTAGGAATAAAGTTACTAAGAGGGGCTGGAAAGTTGCTTTCTAGGAATACAGTTGCTAAGAGGGACTGGAAAGTTGCTTTCTAGGAATACAGTTGCTAAGAGGGACTGGAAAGTTGCTTTCTAGGAATAAAGTTACTAAGAGGGGCTGGAAAGTTGCTTTTTAGGAATACAGTTGCTAAGAGGGGCTGGAAAGTTGCTTTCTAGGAATACAGTTGCTAAGAGGGACTGGCAAGTTGCTTTCTAGGAATACAGTTGCTAAGAGGGACTGGAAAGTTGCTTTCTAGGAACAAAGTTACTAAGAGGGGATGGAAAGTTGCTTTCTAGGAATACAGTTGCTAAGAGGGGCTGGAAAGTTGCTTTCTAGGAATACAGTTGCTAAGAGGGACTGGAAAGTTGCTTTCTAGGAATACAGTTGCTAAGAGGGACTGGAAAGTTGCTTTCTAGGAACAAAGTTACTAAGAGGGGCTGGAAAGTTGCTTTCTAGGAATACAGTTGCTAAGAGGGACTGGAAAGTTGCTTTTTAGGAATACAGTTGCTAAGAGGGACTGGAAAGTTGCTTTCTAGGAATACAGTTGCTAGGAGGGACTGGAAAGTTGCTTTTTAGGAATACAGTTACTAAGAGGGACTGGAAAGTTGCTTTCTAGGAATACAGTTGCTAAGAGGGACTGGAAAGTTGCTTTTTAGGAATACAGTTACTAAGAGGGGCTGGAAAGTTGCTTTCTAGGAATACAGTTGCTAAAAGGGACTGGAAAGTTGCTTTCTAGGAATAAAGTTACTAAGAGGGGCTGGAAAGTTGCTTTCTAGGAATACAGTTACTAAGAGGGACTGGAAAGTTGCTTTCTAGGAACAAAGTTACTAAGAGGGGCTGGAAAGTTGCTTTCTAGGAATACAGTTGCTAAGAGGGACTGGAAAGTTGCTTTTTAGGAATACAGTTGCTAAGAGGGACTGGAAAGTTGCTTTCTAGGAATACAGTTGCTAGGAGGGACTGGAAAGTTGCTTTTTAGGAATACAGTTACTAAGAGGGACTGGAAAGTTGCTTTCTAGGAATACAGTTGCTAAGAGGGACTGGAAAGTTGCTTTTTAGGAATACAGTTACTAAGAGGGGCTGGAAAGTTGCTTTCTAGGAATACAGTTGCTAAAAGGGACTGGAAAGTTGCTTTCTAGGAATAAAGTTACTAAGAGGGGCTGGAAAGTTGCTTTCTAGGAATACAGTTGCTAAGAGGGACTGGAAAGTTGCTTTCTAGGAATAAAGTTACTAAGAGGGACTGGAAAGTTGCTTTCTAGGAATACAGTTGCTAAGAGGGACTGGAAAGTTGCTTTCTAGGAATACAGTTACTAAGAGGGACTGGAAAGTTGCTTTCTAGGAATACAGTTACTAAGAGGGGCTGGAAAGTTGCTTTTTAGGAATACAGTTGCTAAGAGGGACTGGATAGTTGCTTTCTAGGAATACAGTTGCTAAGAGGGACTGGAAAGTTGCTTTTTAGGAATACAGTTGCTAAGAGGGGCTGGAAAGTTGCTTTTTAGGAATACAGTTACTAAGAGGGACTGGAAAGTTGCTTTTAGGAATACAGTTGCTAAGAGGGACTGGAAAGTTGCTTTTTAGGAATACAGTTGCTAAGAGGGGCTGGAAAGTTGCTTTTTAGGAATACAGTTACTAAGAGGGACTGGAAAGTTGCTTTTTAGGAATACAGTTGCTAAGAGGGGCTGGAAAGTTGTTGCTAAACCTAGCGAGAAAGTTGCTAATTTGGAGCACAACGTACACAATAATGAGGCGACCTGCATGTAAATCTGACCACAAGCTGAAAATACATGAAAGAATCTCAACATGGTGATAATGACCCAAATGTGTGCCGTATGAGGTGCACCAAACACACTCCCTTTTCATTTATTCACCACTTACGACACATATCAGGTCGGTTAAAGTCTACAGAAGTATAGTTTATCTAAAGAATCCTAGAAAACACTCAGAGTTTCTGAATTGATCAGCTTCTAAATAGCCGACAGACGCACTTTCACTCTACCTTGTCAAGGTCCTGCTTCTCCATGGTCAACAGGTAGCTCCAGGTGATGTCATTCTCCTGTGTGTGTGTGTGTGTGGAAAGGAAATAGATGAGTGTGAAAATGGAAACACCGACCGAATCAAAACTTGTACGGCTGAAACAGATGTGCCTGCATGAGGCTTTGAAAAACAATCTACCTGCACCCGTCAAACCCGACCTCATTTATCAGAGCGGCTCTAAAACTGAGTTTGAATCCAGCACAAAGCAGCACAGTGGATCCATTATGGAGTCAAATATGTAAACCTGTCTCCTCGTGACAGGTTCCAAAGCAAATGTCAGTCTGCCATTAACGCAGCTGTGCTTCCTCATATTTAGGATCACAGCATCTCACCCGTGGATCTAATACTGTAACAGAATATTATCTCTGATCAGTGTGTGGGAATTGAAGAGATGGGGGAACAGATAGGAGGCAGTGTGCGCTCATTTTAGGCCCGCAGGAGAACCCACATTTAATAGAAATTGCATAATGGATGATAGGGGCGGGAATCACCGGGCTCCCCACGATACGATACCATCGCGATACGATATATTGCGATATTGCAAATCACATGCGTCATATCCATGTCCGTCTTCCCCTCCTGGTTAAAAAATGTATTTGCAATATGAATAGTTTATGTAAAAAACCCAATTTGTGTTCTTTGAACCTGAAAAGGAGATGGCATTGTTTTTGTTACTTTCATTGCAATTGTATACATGTCTTAACGTAACTTCCTGTTTTATATACGACCATCTTTCGGAGGGATATGCTACAGTTTATAAATATAAAAAAATAAAGTTTATATAATAAAATATCGAGCGTCCGTGTATCGATACAATATCTCCACGCAAGGTATTGCCATACTATGCTGTATCGATTATTTCCCCCACCCCTAATGGATGAGTGTATTTTCAAATATCAAGAAGCAAGATGTTTGCTCAAGGCTAAACATTTGTTAAAATACCATTTTGGATAAAGTATTGTGGAGCTGCAGAGATCTCTCCGCCTACAAATCTTACTCTGCAGACTTAACAACACTTATTTGTTTAGTTTAAATCCTCTTGAGACAATAGAGAGGCGAAGTCCCTCCTTTTCCGGGGGAGCTGCATGGGACCTTATTTCGGAAAAAGTATGTATTGAAGTCAATGGAGAGAGAAAAGTTATCTTTCGATCCCGTTTGAATTGTGCCACGAATTACACATATGATGTTTGTCAATTTAAAAGATAATTTTGCAAGTCAAGAAAATTAAAATGTGTCGTAAAACTGTGAAGTAACACTTTGTTTGTGTGAAACCGCTCAATGAACTACATCTCCCGTCTCGCACCACACACCAAGACGGCCGTCACGTTTCAGAATGAGGCGGAAAGTATTAAACGAGGTGAAAATCTCTACAGGTCTGGGCATGTTGAGAGCTGTACACACACACAAGGGGAGTTCGTCGGTTCCGTGAGAGCCAGCATGCGGGACCGGGACTCTGGGATTTGTAGTCTTTCTAATTGTGTATTTTCCATAGTCTTATATTTCTATAGTTTTAGGACAAATTATTTGTTAAGGTTGACAAACATCATATGTGTAATTCGTGGCACAATTCAAACGGGATCGAAAGATAATCTCTCTCTCCATTGACTTCAATACATAATTTTTCCGAAGTAAGGTCCCATGGGTCGGAAGGAGAAGGGCGGGACTTCGCCTCTCTATCACACCATCATCATATAATATATGTTTTAATGGGAATACGAATAAAGTAATAAAAAAAACGCTCCATCCCTTCAAAATCGTGAACAATGACTTCCTCATCATATCGTAAGTGCAATATCCGTCAAAAATAGTCACAAAATCCCGCAGCCTTAGCACAATTTAGAGATGAATACATATTTCATAAACACATCGATATACATCACTTCAGGCATTCAGTACTTACAGTCATGATGCCGGAGAGGTGGCCGAGATTAAGGCCGTGAAGGAAGAGCTCAAGGTCATCGAGCTTGGTTACACTGAAGAGCAGATAGACGACTTTTAGCAAATTAATGATCGCTATGTCATCAATAAAAACCAGCTGAGAGTAGACATGCACTAAAACTATGTAAATAGAGAAGTGTAGGTTCTTCAAAATGCACATTATTCATAAAAACAGAGCAGGGCTGCACGATTTGAGAAAAATATCGCATTGCTAATTAGAGATTTGGATATCGCACAAGTCCATATTGCAATTTTTATAATTTGTTGGTTGTGCAGCCGTAGCAGTGACATACTGAAAAGAGAAATCATCCTTTTAGCTGCAAGTTCCTCAAATCAGGAGGAATAAACCATCCTGAAGTGTCCTTAAACAATGACTTCCTGTAGGAGGTGAGATAAGATTGTACTTTTTTGATCTTATCTCGCCTCTTCTACAGGAAGTCATTGTTTACACTTCAGGATGGTTTATTCCTCCTGAACCTGCTATTTAGGGATGCTCCGATCGATCGGCCGATACTCACTCTCTGCCGATCGATCGGAGTCTCTAAAAATGCCGATCGCATGACGTAAAATACATGACACTTTTCTCTGTGGGCGGCAAAGCAAGCTCGCCAAAATGGCTTCACCGGTCTGGCAGTATTTTAAGGTGTCCGAAAAAGACAGTAAAATAGCGGTATGCAACGTGTGTGAAGCAGAAATCCTGCAGCTCCGCCCGCTGTGACGGACCGGAGAGCGGAGCAACACACACACTAAGAGTTAGACCTAACACACTTAGCTATTTGATCTACCTCTGGAACAAAACTAGTTATTAGGGTTGCAAAACTCCGGGAATTTTAATGGGAATAAACTTGGAATTTTCTAAATTGAAGGTTGGTTCTTCATAGGGAACTTAAATATAGTCGGGGAAAGTATATTTTAGCATAATCTTGACTAAAGCAAACAGATGCCATTCAAGTACACTTGAATATCCATGCCATAGCACACTGCTTACGGCATGGCTATTGAGACCACACAAAGGTTCGCAACAGGCAGAGTGGAAAAACTGACACAGAGCCATCCTCAACCAGGCTGGTCAGTGACACTGAAGAGGAAGAGGAAGAGGAAGAGGAAGAGTGTGATGTTGATGAGGCCCAGGAAGAGCCCGTTGACTGAAAGGGTTTAGCAAAAACGCAGAGGATCGCTTGAACCTAGAAGGTTTGCATGTTTAACGGAACTTTGTGGAGGGAGAGGGCTCTTTTCGTTTAACATTTTGAAGGGGACTTTGTGGGGATCTTTGGATGGGGGGTGCATTTATTAATGAGTGGGGTTGGGGGGGGATGAGTAATATTTAACTCAACATTCCTGTTTTCGTTCTTCAATGAAACAAATAATTGTTTAATAAAATAATTAAAACTTGTTCTGTTCTACTTAAAAAGAG